TTAAAAAAATAGACGTAATAGAACTGACATGCTTAGACACCTAGAATAATAGCCCTGACGTGCTTAGACACCTAGAATAATAGCCCTGACGTGCCCTATAATTTGATTAAAGTAAAGGAGATTTCTACAATTAGTCACCTCACTCTTTCGTCCTTGCCTATTGTGATCCCGTGGCGAGAGTTCGCCAAGTCGTCTGGAAATATACAAAGATTCAGTCAATGTCCAGCAGTGCTTTTTGTGGCTCACGTTGCCCTTGACGCCGTCCACGTCACGTTTAGTGCACCTTTGTCTCACCCATTGGATAACGTAAGGATTATTTTTTGCGTGTTCAACCAGTTCCAGTCTTCACGTGGTCAACCAGGTCCAGTTTTCATGTGGTGAACCAGGTCCAGTCTTCACGTGGTCAACTAGGTCCAGTCTTAACATGGTCCACCAGGTCCAGTATTCATGTGCCCCCCAGGTCCAGACTTCACAAATGAGCTAGAGTAAGTAAAATTTTATTTCCTTAGTCTGGGAGATCTGATCAATGTATTTGTCGAGTATATGTCGAGTTTTGTCAAGTCTCTGAACGTGAGTCGAATGGGCAAGAGCGGTATATGAGGAAAAGCTCGGATATCAGCTGACTAGGTTCACCCATACGCCCTGAGAACTTACATGCATTGAAATGCATCTACCAATAAATGGTTGTATGGGTTATTTATATATATGACGGCACTACCGGATCACAGTGGAATAGAACTATTTCCAGGATGCAAACCACGGTTTCATATTTGCTTTTTGAAAAGAACCGACTTAAGAAGACATCCCGGTTCTGTGTGCTCTAATGTTTGTTGACATACAATGCGTATATTAAATAGTAAGTTTACATCTGTAGGGTTTCCATGTGTTCTATTTATAGCACAAGGGGAACTTCTCAAAATGTATTACTTAATATCAGACCTCGGAGTTTAACGGATAAGAGAAAGGAAGCTCAACATGATTGTTTGAGAATTAATAATTGGATTCTATATGCGATTTCTTTGAACCTAATGAATAAGCAAGAAAAATTAAGTTGTGTCAGTCTAAGCATTTTAGGGAGAGCAGACATGTTGAACTGGTGTCTTTTTATAGTTTTTCTGTCTAAACTTGCTACAGACACTGCTATGGCTCATCGAACTTCAGACAGGGCCATGGCTCAAGTAACGACAGTCAGGGGTTTGCCTCAAACACACCAAGCCACAGCGTTGTGGACAACAAATACAGCTACAGGACGATTGAAAACACGGCAACACCAAAGCAAAGTGAGTACAGCATTCTTTGTGTTGATAGTGTACAGTTTAATGGACTGATCAGCCAATCACCAATTTCAACGTGACTGCTCTTATTTTATGTTACAAATATTCTTCAAATTAGAATTTTTTTTTAAAGTATATATTAAAATATCAATATAACTAAGTTCATCTGGACTTGGGTAAACGAAGTTGGTCAGGTAGTTATGCAAAGTGGATATAAAGGTAGGCTTACCTGGTCATTTTATATATATAGCTTTGTTTTTATCTCATTTATAGCTACCGTCGTTCCGAATGCAGCGCAAAAAACTTGTACATGAACATGTCGTTACGACCAACTGAAAGAGTAGAAACCAAATACCGACAGTGTCGGCACATCAGATAGCTTTGTGGTAGGGACAAGAACAGTAAAACGCCGCCCTTCAATGCTAAATGTGGATCATTCATCTACTCATGTATTTTGTTCTAGTTTTTACAGAATGTTCTATCAAAGTTTTAAAACGTAGACCGGAAAGTTTTATTAAAATTTGCACCATCCTTTGTAAGTAGCTTAACTTTACTTAAACTCAAATTCTTAAATTGGCAGCTTTTATTAGCGGTTTAGAATTTTAGAGTTGGTTTCCAGATAAATATGGTTTTCTTGCTTTTGAGAAGTATTAAAAAGTAAGTTGGCTACAGAAACAAACCAAAAAAACAAAAAAAAAAAAAACAAAAAAAAACAAGCAAGGAAAAAAAAAAGAGTTATGACAAATATCTAGCAGAGTTAAGCGTGGCATATAAAATTATTAATAATTTTTAAAAATAAGATTTTTTTGCTTTTTAAATTTTTAAATTGGCAGCTTTTATTAGCGGTTTAGAATTTTAGAGTTGGTTTCCAGATAAATATGGTTTTCTTGCTTTTGAGAAGTATTAAAAAGTAAGTTGGCAAAAGAAACAAACCAAAAAAACAAAAAAAAAAAAACAAAAAAAAACAAGCAAGGAAAAAAAAAAGTGTTATGACAAATGTCTAGCAGTGTTAAGCGTGGCTTATAACATTATTAATAATTTTTAAAAATAAGATTTGTTTGCTTTTGCGAGGCCGAATCCTGAATTATTTTGGTCACATCCAAATCTTCTGCCATCGCCCACAGTTATGGTTGATCAAATATTTAAAGAATTATTTTTTTTTTATAAGTTTGAGCTTCAAAAAGCTTCTCTCAGCATGTGCCACTGTACATGGGAGTAGTTAACAATTTAGCATCGACGCATCCACCCTTGGGAACAGAGCAACCACGCCCACTTCCACACCCACTTCCACGCCCATTTCCACATAGACAGTGTAATCTATATGGTGCTATATCTCTCTGTTATTCTTCTTGATATGGCTAATAGATCATTGCACAGTTCTGCTGTAATCATGTCTGATGATGAACAGATGCGTAACAAGGCTTAGTGCCCCCCGGGTGGCCCAAAACTTTTGCCCCCCTCCCCGTCCCCAAGCAAGAAATTTGACAGTGTCAATCATGCACCTTGCCCACTGGCGTATTAAAGGGGGTTGTGAGGGGCTTGTGTCCCAGAACACGTATTTATGCCAATGAAAATGTCTTTGACGAAATGCCGACCTAATGAGCCGCCAAAATACTTTATACGTGAAGCCGGCAATGATCACGGATTCCATTTCCGTTGTATAATTTGGCTAGTAAACCTAAATGGCATTTTTGGGCGCCCAGTTTAATTTATTAGCTGAAGAAGGCTCTATGCCGAAATGTCCTTATCTTTTTATCATGTTCTCTAAGTCAAGCTTCCACACACCTTGTTTTGCTATTTCATTATTTACTAGGCTTGAATGCAGTCCTTTAATTTATATCTTTTAATTTATGAGACTTTTCTGTGCCAGAGCTTAGCTCAAAAACGTTTGCAGTATTATGTGTCCTAAAATATATTTAATAATTCAGGAGAAAAAAAAATCATTCAGATTGACAAAGTTGAAATAATTATTCACTATCTTTTATTTAATTAAAATTGTGGTATATTAACTTCAAGTCGATATTTCTGGGGATCTATATGAAACGCCATATATCCAAGAATGAAAAGTCTATGGGTGCATTTTCTATACCAGGGGTTCTCATTCATTTTTGAAAGTTGTGCCGCTTAAACATTCTTCTAAAACTGAATGTACAATCGGGAAAATATATTTTATCATTGAAACTAGGTACACGTTTGTGTCTTTATGTCACATCTCATTCTGCCACCTTTGAGCATAGTAAGGTATAACTAGTGGATACACATACATCAGTTTGAGATTTCTATACAGTTCTGGCACAAAAACATGAGCTTACATGAGCAACGTACGAACAAAATGACATGTCAAAAACTTACCAACAAAATGACATATGAACTACGTACCAACAAATGACATATTAACAACGTACCAACACAATGACATATGAACAACGTACCATCAAAATGACATATTAACAACGTACCAACAAAATGACATATGAACAACGTACCATCAAAATGACATATGAACAGCGTACCAAAAAAAAGGACATATTAACAACGTACCAACAAAAAGACATATGAACAACGTACCAACAAAAAGACATATGAACAACGTACCAACAAAAAGACATATGAACAACGTACCAACAAAAAGACATATGAACAACGTACCAACAAAAAGACATATGAACAACGTACCAAAAAAAGACATGAACAACGTACCAACAAAAAGACATATGCAGAAGCCTACACTATTCTGCAACTGAATCACGTATTAACACAGGCACTTTGTCTTTTGATACTAAAGTTTACTGTTAAGAGTAAGCGACAATTTATAACATATTTTAACTTAGCTGGGGACATTAATTCTAAACGCGTGGATTTCAATGATTCAGTCTTAAAATAGACTTACCATTCCATAGCCCCTTGAAGATATGTAGATTTAAAAAAAAAAAAGAAAAAGCAAATCACCTATTTATCAAAATTAAGACAATACCAGGGCGTTTATCTGAATTTCTACCTCAATGGAATAGACATTAAACATTTCCAGGTTACTACCGTACTCGGTCAAATAAATCATGTCAAATGAATGAAATTATTTTTACAGTTTAGCGTCGAAAAGAGTTTCCTCGAAGTCGACCAGGTAGATTTAACACAGAATCTTAACAGCAAATATTTACATTCTATGTACACACGACGGTGGTGTGACGACAGATGCTGGGGGATTCTATCAATGTCTTCGTCGTTAAATAACTTCACAATCTCATAAGGTTCATTCATCCTGTGGAATTGTAATTCGGTCAGGTGTCATCAAGCATCTCTCTCTCTCTTTCTCTCTTTCTATCATTCGTTTTCTCCCTATCACTGTCTTGTTTTCACCATCACTTTCTCTATCTCTCTTGTTCTCTCTCTCGCAATCTCTCGTTTGTTCTATCTTTCTCTTATTCTATGTCTCTCGTTCTCTCTCTTTTATGTTCCTTCATTTGTATCTATTCTTTTCTCTCGTTTTTTCTCTATCGTGTTCTCTCTCTTTCTCTCTCTGTCTCTCTCGTTCTTTCTCTCTCGTGTTATCTCCCTTTCTCTCTCTGCCTCTCTCTTGCTCTCTCTTTCTTTATATTTACTTTTCTCTCGTGCCCGTTCTCTCGTTTCCTCTCCCTTTCTCTCTCTCCGTTCTCCCTCGCTCTCTCTCTCCATTGTTCTCGTTCCCTCTCACATTTCTCCCACCTTTCTTTTACCCTCTCTCTTTCTATCCTTCTCGCCCTCCGCCTGTTGTTCTCTCACTTTATTGTTATCTAATCTCTCTTTCTATGTCTCGTTGGCTCATTCTTTATTTCTCTCTCTATCATTCTCTCTCTCATTCTCTCTATCATTCTCTCTCTCATTCTCTCTTTCTAGTTCTCTCTTTCCTCTCCCGTTCACTATACATCCATTGTTTTCTTTCTATCTCTTGTTCACGCTCTTATTCTCTCTCTCTCTCTCTTGTTCTCTTTCTCTCCCTCTCTCTCGCTCTCTCTCTCCCCCTCTCTCCCCCTCTGTCCCTCTCTTGTCTTCTCATACATGATTTGTATTGATTTAAATTGCGATACAACTCTCTTAAATCATTTGCGCCACAAAGCGTTTAACGTGAATGCCCATGAACAACAAGAATGAAAAGAAGCGCTAACTGAACGAAGAAACGTGTCCGGCCGCTGGGTGGGGGCAACCCTGTGCTTCGAGGTAGATTTCATTTCAGATGTCAAGGAGTCCACCGGTTCAAGTTTATCAACATTTACAGTTTTGTATCATTTAAAAAAAAAAAATTCTTTTAAACGTCTAGAAGTGGTGTCGCCTCGACCGGTCCACGGATTTTAAAATATGCTACAAGGAAGACAGCAGACGGTACAAAAGGCATCGACAATCTCCCAACAGTGAAACAGAAATAGGAAATGGTGGAGTCCCAAACAGTACAATATGCATGAAGGTACTCACTCAAGGTGTAGAGGCTTTCTATAAGTGTCGGCAGGGACAGTGGAAACACCTAGGTGAGAATAAATACATTTACAAGTTTCAAACGTTTTTATGAAAGGATTATTTTAGAAATAGATTTCGCTATTTAGAAACACCTCATACTCACATAATTTGTAATACGTCACACTATCAAATTTTCATCAAATGTTTGCCAAATTTCTTTTTGAACACACTATGTAGTAACAAAAAAAAAATAGTGCATTCAAAAGAGATTTGACACAAAATTGATCGTGTGAACTGAGCATAAGACCTGACAGCTTTCTGTATTCTCATTAAATGCTTCCTCTCTCTCTTTTCTTGTATTTATTTAACGATAGAAAAATGACTAAATTAAAGAAACGTTTTCTGCTCATTTATAGGGACGAGGAGGAGGATGAAACATTACCCGCAAATAAGAAGAAAGTTATTGTCTTTCAACGACACGGGGAATGAACATCATATTTGCAATGGTAAATTCTGTATACTGTCTGTGCTGGAGAAGCTAAAGAAAACTAAAGATTACTGCTGAATGAATTAACATTGAATACAGTTATACATCAACGGCCCTCAAACGTTTGAGTAAGGGGGCAGGTCAAATGTGCAGAACTTACCCCCGGGTCTGACTGTTGTTGGAAGGCAATGAATCAATGGCTTTTGTTTTCTTACAATAGATACAAGGATGACAGTGATTTATTAATAATATTTAAAATGTTTACAAAATATATATTAGTGTGCAAATGTCTCCGTGTTTACTGAATGCAACAGAGAGATTGTTGCGAAAATGTCAAGAAGTAGTCCCTGTATTAACTGTAGGCAACAGAGAGATTGTTACACAAATGTCAAGAAGTAGTCCCTGTATTAACTGTAGGCAACAGAGAGATTGTTACACAAATGTCAAGAAGTAGTCCCTGTATTTACTGTAGGCAACAGAGAGATTGTTACACAAATGTCAAGAAGTAGTCCCTGTATTTACTGTAGGCAATAGAGAGATTGTTACACAAATGTCAAGAAGTAGTCCCTGTATTTACTGTAGGCAACAGAGAGATTGTTATACAAATGTCAAGAAGTAGTCACTGTATTTACTGTAAGCAACAGAGAGATTGTTACACAAATGTCAATAAGTAGTCACTGTATTTACTGTAGGCAACAGAGAGATTGTTACACAAATGTCAAGAAGTAGTCCTTGTATTTACTGTAAGCAACAGAGAGATTGTTACACAAATGTCAAGAAGTAGTCCCTGTATTTACTGTAGGCAACCGAGAGATTGTTACACAAATGTCAAGAAGTAGTTTCTGTATTTACTGTAGGCAACAGAGAGATTGTTACACAAATGTCAAGAAGTAGTCCCTGCATTTACTGTAGGCAACAAAGAGATTGTTGCGCAAATGTCAAGAATTAGTCCCTGTATTTACTGTAGGCAACAGAGAGATTGTTACACAAATGTCAAGAATTAGTCCATGTATTTACTGTAGGCAACAGAGAGATTGTTGCGCAAATGTCAAGAATTAGTCCATGTATTTACTGTAGGCAACAGAGAGATTGTTGCGCAAATGGCAAGAATTAGTCCCTGTATTTGCTGTAAGCAACAGAGAGATTGTTGCGCAAATGTCAAGAATTAGTCCCTGTATTTGCTGTAAGCAACAGAGAGATTGTTGCGCAAATGTCAAGAATTAGTCCCTGTATTTGCTGTAAGCAACAGAGAGATTATTTTAATGTGTTTTTGTTAAAACGCAGAATCCGCCAGCGGTAACAGTTCAGCAATACAAAACATGTCACGTGATGGTCTTTGCTGCAGCCCTGAGACCAATCAACTGTTGGCCTCCAGGAAAGAGAATCAAACATCAATGGAGAACTGCGGCTCTCTATGTGGATCAGTGCAATGCCACCAAGAGTTTTCACCTCTGGCCTCTTGTTGCATCATAACATCCGAAGGTATGCAGCAGATAGATGACGATTGAACTTCTTTCAACAAACCATTAAAAAATGTCCATTTTATTCGTTACAATGATAATAATTTTTTTTCTTCCGATTTTTCCCCATTTTAAAATACCTTCTTCGATACACTGTTAATATTATTTTTTTTTTCATTTAAATTCTGTAACGCCGAATGATATAACTAAAAGTGGTTGCTATAAGCTTTTTATGAGCTTTTAAATTTCACGTTAAAATTGTTATCTCCTATGTTTAATGTTAATTATTTCAAAGTAAATAATTCATTTTGGTAAATGACATTTTATGTCAAGCGTTGCACGTATTTGGTATACATTAGCACTTGGAAGACACCATGTGGTATTATATTAGAATTATTAGCCAGTATATTTATTTAAATGATAAAACTGAAATATAGAACCCTACTTCATTTAAATAAATTGTCACATTCCTTCAGACAATATCGTTTATATGTAAATAACACATACACATACCCCACAGGGTTCGGTTTTGCACCAAGTACAACCAATTATAACAAGCTAAAGTTAAAATTCGACGCCAACCAAGATGAAAAGAATTTAACAAGCCGGTATTTTACCGACTCCCAACAAATTTTTAATAAATGAACTGCGAATCTCAAATTGAAATGACTGGATGGCTTTTTAAAAATCAAAAATGAAAATAAAAATATGCATTTACTTATCTTTTTATTGCAGTCATTCAACAGTTACTTTTGAATTGTACTTGTAATTCTGCCAATGGTATATCCAAGTATGCTGGTAAGTAGTGTGTCAGTATGGATATCCGTGCGATGCCAGTGCGATGTCAGCATGTATGTCAGTACGATGATAGTACGAAGTTAGTGTGGGTGTCAGTAATGATCACAGCACGATGACTGCTAACGGTCAATTAAATGTTTGCATACAGTTTTCAACGTAGTGCTTGGCTGTTATCCCTCAGTCCAAAGTCAAATTTTTTAATCATCAGCTGTTTAAAAAGACACTCGTACGCACAGACACACACATATTATATATATTTATATATATATATATATATATATATATATATATATATATATATATATTACACACACACACATATTATATATATATATATATATATATATATATATATATATATATATATATATATATATATTTAAACATCTCAGCCATAGTCTATTTGGCGATGATAACAATTCATTTCGATATTTTCTTTTATTATTGCAGGATTGAAACTCTAAAATTTGTAATCCATACAATTTGTAAAACCTTTTTTTTTTAAATATTCAATTTTAGAAAACCTTCAATTTGTGATAGGTACAACTTGTGATAGATACAATTTGTGATATATAAAATTTGTGATACATTCAATTTGTCACACATGTTATTTGTGATACATTCAATTTGCGATACACAAAACGTGTGATACATACTATTTGTGATAGATACAACATTCAATTTATGATACACATAATTTGTGATACATACAATTATACAATTTTTGATACATACTATGAGTGATACATACATCATACGATTTATGATTCATACACTTTGTGATACATTTATTTATTTATTTAGGCATTTTTATATAGCGCTTACCATAAAGCTCTAAGCGCCTTACAATTATTAAAAACATTCAAAGGCGAAACATTATTTTCTCTTACGTTCCCTGTCAAACTGAGTCAGACGTTAATCGTTTTAGCCAAACACACCTCCCCCGATTTTTCGGATTGAACGTTGGTAGTCCTGATCACTCACAGTTGGCAAGACAGATTCTTAATGCAAGAGATACAACTATAGATTAATATAACACATCACGCACATGTACATATACACATATCAACAAACACGGCTAGTGCGTTGATCTCTTCTAAGCATAAGTTATAAATTTCATCATTTCTATGTTAGGATACTAATAAGCGGGAAGAGACTGCAATTCGGTTATCCAAAAAAAACAACAAAAACGGATATGATTAAAATAAAGTATGGGAAAACCTGAAAAAAGGAACGAAACAAAACAGCGAACGTGTCGGCCAGAACCCTTGGTCAGGGAACAAACAACAGAAAATACAGAATATTAAGATATTCTTCTTCGTACCACTTTCAGTAAAATTAATTCTAAAGGACTAAACGATCTTGGAAAAAAAAAACAGAATTTGTTATCATATAAACTATAATTAAATAGAAATATATCCGCCTAATAATCGCGGTGGCAATGCTGTGAACTACCCATCTACCAAAGTTACTGGACAAAACATGCATGGACTACCCATCTACCAAAGTTACTGGACAAAACATGCATGGACTACCCATCTACCAAAGTTACTGGACAAAACATGCATGAAGTGCCCATCTACCAAAGTTACTGGACAAAACATGCATGGACTACCCATCTACTAAAGTTACTGGACAAAACATACATGAACTACCCATCTACTAAAGTTACTGGACAAAACATGCATGGACTACCCATCTACTAAAGTTACTGGACAAAACATGCATGGACTACCCTTCTACTAAAGTTACTGGACAAAACATGCATGAACTACCCATCTACCAAAGTTACTGGACAAAACATGCATGGACTACCCATCTACCAAAGTTACTGGACAAAACATGCATGGACTACCCATCTACCAAAGTTACTGGACAAAACATGCATGGACTACCTATCTACCAAAGTTATTGGACAAAACACGCATACCCAATCAGTGAAAGCCTCTATGACTTGTATTTTGAGAGCGTATTTGAGCTCCTCGTTACAGCCATACGCACATGCCTACAAAGCTATTATTTGTCTTGTATTTGTCTATTTCTCTCATCTTTATACGCACATGCCTACAGAGCTATTACCTGTCATGTATTTGTCTATTTCAACTCATCTATATACGCACATGCCTACAAAGCTATTATCTGTCATGTATTTGTCTATTTCAACTCATCTTTATACGCACATGCCTACAGAGCTATTATCTGTCATGTATTTGTCTATTTCAACTCATCTTTACAGCAATACGCACATGCCTACAAAGCTAATATCTGTCATGTATTTGTCTATTTCAACTCATCTTTACAGCCATACGCACATGCCTAGAGAGCTATTATCTGTCATGTATTTGTCTATTTCAACTCATCTTTATACGCACATGCCTACAGAGCTATTATCTGTCATGTATTTGTCTATTTCAACTCATCTTTATACGCACATGCCTACAAAGCTATTATCTTTCATGTATTTGTCTATTTCAACTCATCTTTACAGCCATACGCACATGCCTAGAGAGCTATTATCTGTCATGTATTTGTCTATTTCAACTCATCTTTATACGCACATGCCTACAAAGCTATTATCTGTCATGTATTTGTCTATTTCAACTCATCTTTACAGCCATACGCACATGCCTAGAGAGCTATTATCTGTCATGTAATTGTCTGTTTCAACTCATCTTTAAAGTCATAATCACACGCCTATGGAGCTATTACGTGTCATGTATTTGTAGTTTTCTTGATTTACTCCACTACAGTATACTGCATCGCAGCTGGGATATGTGGACTGGTGGTGACGCTGACTTTAATTATTGCAGCATGCATTAAGTAAGTTAGGATCGGATATAAATGATTGGTTCGGCCAGGTTACTCCTAAATGATACGTGTTCTGCAATGGGAAATTACGTTCATTGTTATTAAAATTATTTATCTTATAATGCTTTTCTTAACTTAGGAAAAAATAAGAAGAAACGCATTAGCTATTGAGAGTTGTGTGAGGTAAATATAAGCGAAGAGTCAACACGCGATTTCTGAAGCGCGTACAATTATATACGTTGTACGCAAGTTCAAGTTACATTTAGTTATTTTATAATGAAAAATCTGTTTTCGTTGTGTACCTAAATTAAAAGGCACCTTTTGAAACATATCTGGGGCGTGGGTCACTTTGCTTCTATAAAGGAGTGCCGCTGGTCACTTTGCTAATAAAAATGGGGGCCGCTGATTATTTTGGTTCTATAAATAGAGTTCACGACTAAAAATCGTTTGAGAACCTTTTTCTTATACTAAATTATAAGAGCATTTAATATTTTCTAGGAAATTCAAACGCACTAAAATAGAGCCCCCCTTGGACGATGCTGGAGTTCAAGAAGCACCCCCGGAGCCTCTTTACGGCACGCCTATGAGCCTGTACACTGTACGCCCACATTTAATACACGTGACGTCGGTTGAAAACGACGGTGACCGCTCTTCGCGTAGTTCTCACTATGAGTACGACAACAACTTCGACAACCGTATCGAATACACCTCCAGTTCCGGAAGTCAGGAATCGATTAACAACACCTTCGATACTCAAGGTGCTGCACACGTAGATCATCAGAGCCATTCTCACTCTGACAGCGCTGTTCACCTCAACGAATCGAGCGCGTCATCGCTGCAAGTCACACCCGTCAAAGATTTGTCAGAGCACGAATACGACGTAAGCGATTTCGACGACTCGCTTTTCAACGGCTACAGCAACGTCTTTGTTACGACGGCGGACGTTCACCATGCTGATGACGCGATACGCCTTCCGGGCATGGCATCACGGGATCGGAGCAGCGTCGACGGGAAAACTTCGGGAGTCGAAGATCCCGTTTACGATAGCGTGTCAAACGGGTCGCTGGAATCAGCCGAGATGCCAGCTGTGGATGATGGCATAGATGATTACAGCGTCTATCAAAATACGTGCTTGGAAGGCAGGGGACCTCCTGGAAATCTCCAAAGACTTCACGAAAATGATCCGACTTTTGATGAGGCCCCGTCAGAAGTTCGGGTTGAACGGCACCCCGTCCACGAGGTGCCGCCGCGGCGTCACGGCGGTCATGCAAGGGAAATAACTCAAATTCAGTTAGGGACCGTCTTTGCGTCGGGGTTGAGTCGCCTGATCGAAACGCTAACGCTGCCGCGGGCTGGCAGACGTGAAGGAGATGGAGGGGCCGTACCACTCGCAGCTGGTGCCCTGGAGGTTTCCAACACCTTACCACGATCTCACAGAGTTCAGATCTCAAACGATTATCTTGTACCAGTGATGCCGGACTACAAGGGAATTTAAATGCGAATACAAAGGAAAAAAATGTATTAATATTCATTGTTTATTAATATGTATTAAAATGATGTACATGTTGTTGTTTTTTTAAAAATTAATAAAATAATTCAGATATCAAAAGTTTTATTGGTCAAAACTTATTATCAATGAAATCGTAATAAATAAATAGTGACAGTGAATACACATAACTTTGCAAAAACTGTTTTTGCAATATTTTAGTTTGTTTATGTAATTGTTAGCAGGCCCGACACCTACAAAAGTAGCAATGTATTACAAATGTTATAATTATGGCATTTTAATTTTTTATTTTATTTATATCTCATTAGAACTTTAAAAACTTAAATGTTTTTTGTCGTTGATTCATTACACAAATGAAAATTTTAATGTTAATGAAGAAACGTTGAACAAAAACGACTACGTATCAACATTTGTATCATCTTGCTCTTATCATTTTTTTAATGGCACCTCTGGGGCGGCGAGCAACCCAGGTTAGGAAACATCGATCTACTTATTGAACTAGACACGCAGAGGTGGCGTTGAACTGATCAGCTGTCATAGCGTCTTGATGTGTCATCCTGTTGACCTATTCCATTTTTGCATATATTTCACACACACCCCCATCCCCCAAATTTTCCGTCTTTTGGTGACAGGGTGTTTCCTAGGATGACAAAATCAATTTGACATTGTTTCGTGACAAAGTCTTTTCCAGGGTGTAATGTCGGGGTCCACAAAAGTTTTTAATCAGGAGGTCGGTTCCCTGCCTCTCAAACACTGCTGTGGACTGACTTTAGTTTTAAAGAAAATATGGACGAATCCCGACGCAACATTCACTTTTTATTTGTAGTGCAAGCCCCCCCCACCCAAGCCCCCCCCCCAAAAAAAAAAAAAGATATTTAAAATAAAAATGATTAAATTAAGTAATTAGTCTTTAAATGGGAAATATGTCTCTCATCTTGGTTAAGTAAATGGTGAATAGTCCGGCTCCATAGTTGTAAATATATCCAGGGTATCCGTATGGCAGATCTGTTCTACAGGACAACGTTTGAGGACCACTTTTCAAAAGTTTAAAATGGCTGCAGTGGCAGCGCTTGTTGCTGGAAGTGCTGAGTCGGCCTGGGTGGTTACAGTGGTGAGTGGGCGTGAGACGTGTAGGTGGTCAGTCGGCGTGAGTAGTGTAAGTGGTGAGTTGGCGTGAGTTTTGAAAGTGGTGAGTTGGCATGAGTTTTGAAAGTGGTGAGTTGGCGTTCATGGTGAAAGTGGTGAGTTGGCGTGAGTTTTGAAAGTGGTGAGTTGGCGTGAGTTTTGAAAGTGGTGAATTGGCGTGAATAGTGAAAGTGGTGAGTTGGCGTGAATAGTGAAAGTGGTGAGTTGGCGTTAATAGTGAAAGTGGTGAGTTGGCGTGAGTTTTGAAAGTGGTGAGTTGGCGTGAATAGTTAAAGAGGTGATGTGGCGTGAATAGTGTAAGTGGTGAGTTGGCGTGAATAGTGAAAGTGATGAGCTGGCGTGAGTTTTGAAAGTGGTGAGTTGGCGTGAATAGTGAAAGTGGTGAGTTGGCGTGAATAGTGAAAGTGGTGAGTCCTACACACATCCGCATGGCTGATATCTGCACTCACGCCTAAAGACAGCAAGATACATGTGTGGACCACCTAATTCTAACAGACATTTAAAAGCTCGCACTTTGTCTAGGTTCAAATAACTGATTTAACCCGGCGGCTCCCATTTTTTTTGTTCCCTTTCATTAAATAAACAGTCTGGGAACAACACCCACCCCCCCCCCCCTTAATTGAAATATATCTTATCGTAAATAAATGTATGTATAAAGATTTTTTTCCCGTTTTCTGCCCTTATTGACATAATTGTTGTGAGCCCCCAAGCGTACCTCAGAGATACGGGTACCCATGGTTGGAAACCGCTGTTCTAGTACGGGTTACCTTTCAGAGAATAAAATATTTCTCTGCCAATAATTGGTTATTGAGGAGGTGTGAGGGCAAACACAATGCCCCCCCCCCCTTCCCTCTCCCGGGTTGAGGGCTTTCAAGTGCACATCATTTTACTGTTGCGCTAAGATAAAAAAAATCAAAAAAACCTTTGACTTAGCTACATCTTTGCTGCAGTAATTAAGGAATCTCATTATCAGAACGGTTTACGCTGTTAATGGTAAACACATTAACTGGCTGCATGTGTTGTGGCGATATCTCCAATAAATTTACGATTAAAAACAAATTGACAAAAATGTATAACATGTGTGAAGGTTTTTTTTAAAAATCGAAATATTTTCAATGCTTAGAAAAGGAATTTCACATGAGTTGAATTGCAGTCGAAAATAACAATTCATATATATTTATATATGCTTTATACAAAACGGTAGACATGCATAAATATGTATAGGCGGATAGATAGACATACCTGCATAGTGACATATAGACATACGCACAGACAGACAGATAGATTAATAGATCGACATAAAGATAACTTCTGGGTGTATGAAGTTTTTTCTTTATGTACTATAACATTCTCTGTTTAGTGAATATTTAAAACTTAGTCCAATGCTGTTGTTCTACCCCACCCCACCCCCACCCACACACCCGCACACATATTCACGTGCATTGTGAATGTGATTATTATTATTATTACAGTGCTCTTATATAGCATGTTGTCTAGGAGGGCTGGGCTCACCCTGCTTCACATAAAAATTGGGAAAACATGGAAACAGGACATCAAAAAAGGACATACATTTATTTAATTACAAAACAGCTTGATAAAAAAAAAATATTTCCCTCCACTTTTATTTTTCCAGAACTATTGACATGTAAAGCCGTGGACACCGACCAGCAGCATCGTTTCTCGGAGTTGTAGCATTCAAGGCGATGCTGGCGCAAGGTGGCTAATGTCGATGGGATTTCTTTAGATACGTCTTAGCCATACTGGGCCTTTTTGGTCACAGTGGGTCACGTCATAGTCAAACTGGATCTTTTTATTCACAGTGGGACACGTCATAGTCAAACTGGATCTTTTTATTCACAGTGGGACACGTCATAGTCAAACTGGATCTTTTTATTCACAGTGGGACACGTCATAGTCAAACTGGATCTTTTTATTCACAGTGGGACACGTCATAGTCAAACTGGATCTTTTTATCGACAGTGGGACACGTCATAGTCAAACTGGATCTTTTTATTCACAGTGGGACACTTCATAGTCTTACTGGGCCTTTTTGGTCACAGTGGGACACTTCATAGTCTTACTGGGCCTTTTTGGTCACAGTGGGACACGTCATAGTCAAACTGGATCTTTTTATTCACAGTGGGACACTTCATAGTCTTACTGGGCCTTTTTGGTCACAGTGGGACACTTCATAGTCTTACTGGGCCTTTTTGGTCACAGTGGGACACGTCATAGTCTTACTGGGCCTTTTTGGTCACAGTGGGACACTTCATAGTCTTACTGGGCCTTTTTGGTCACAGTGGGACACGTCATAGTCAAACTGGATCTTTTTATTCACAGTGGGACACTTCATAGTCTTACTGGGCCTTTTTGGTCACAGTGGGACACTTCATAGTCTTACTGGGCCTTTTTGGTCACAGTGGGACACGTCATACCGGATTTTTTTCAATCGCTTATTTTCGGAAATTTAAAAAAAATAATAGTGTAACGGTTGAATACCTTCCTAAACTGAATAACTTAATGCGGCTCGTTAAGAGTCGTTAGTTGCCTATGTCGTGATTTTTTAAAACAAAATCTGAAAATTAAAAACGGAATGAGCTATGCGCTTTCAAAATTAAAAAAAAAAAATGCATATTTATTTTCAGATGGTCACTGGCCAGCTTATTAAACGGAAAAACTGGAAGTTCTTAACGAATCAGTATTAGGTAGAGGGATGCGATTGCAATTTGGATTGTTTAAAATTTAACTCTGGAACCACGAGAGAAATGATCTGTGTTGGGATTCGGCTATTCTCCACTAAAATATACAATTAGAATAATGAAATGTCACATTACTTTTTGAGAGAGAGAGAGAGAGAGAGAGAGAGAGAGAGAGAGAGAAAGAGAGAGAGAAACGGATAAGATTTAATAATTGATGGCGGTTGTAAATCCCAGGCAAAAATTACAAGCAAAAACATGCAGATAAGTAAGATACAATGTTTTTTAGCGAAAACCCCTTTCAAATCTTTCTTCATGGCAATTATTCGAATGAGTTCTTTAATGTTAAAGAGATGTAACAATGTGGTACATTATAATATGTTTCTTATACCATTTGTGGATAAGTAAAAATAAAAAACAACTGCAAATGACTATGGAAATTCAATTGATGTGGGGAAAATGTCACCTACATTTAATTCAACCACACCCGATTTTTAAGTTAAGTAGTTAAGGTGTTAACGGTTTTGCAGATGTTATAACATAGTGAACCAACTGATTGCTTTTCACCTTACTAGTTGGATAGTTAGGTAACCCGAGAAACTAACCACTTCATTAACTTGTACCTCCGAATGTTATGTTGAGTGGAAATTATGAACTTTGAAGAAGCATTGTTATATCTATATATGTATGAATGTATGTATGCATATCAAACAATGGATTCATTCGTTTCATAATTGAGAACCTTCAAAACCTTCTTAGCGATATCAATCCGTTCTCTAGAGAATAAAAGAATATCCTCAAATTTGAACACCACCGAACAATTCTTGAAAATAGCATGCCATTCTTGAGAGAAAGAGTAAATATTATGCACCCCTGTAACAACAACGCCCTCGATGCCGAAAGAGAAATTGCAGCCCAGAAATTTGGGATATTACAATTCAATCGAAAAGCGTCATTTTACAAACTATATCTATACTGAGCAGACTCTGTGACTCAATGGGAAATTGTTTGCTTTTCCCATTTGGGGATTCAGGGTGGACCACAGATCCGAAGACAGCTGTAAGTCAAGAGAAAGTGTGCCAGCGTCAATGTTATTCAAACATTTTGTCATTGGTGATGAGTATTGTAAACCAGGTGCTCAACATAGCAAACATTTTCATTGTTGAAGACTATTGCAAAACCGATGCAAAACTTTTAAATTGGTTTCATTAACATCAAAACACAATAATAGCTGAAAACTACGATGCCCTTTTCCGACTTGTGAACACATATAATGTTGAAGGCGGTTAGATATTTTCTGAAAAGAAAGTTATATCACCTTCAGCAGATGCACAAAAGAATCTCCAAAATATTTCTGTATCGATATTCAGCAAGACATTGTAAATGCCGAGGGGGGCAGGACACTGTCCAATGGAAATTTTAAACAGCTTAACACCTTGGGGTATGGCTCCTCAAAGACGTAACTTTAATTACTTATTTTTCTGTACTAATGTTGCTACGAAACCATGACCCAACAAGACGTCTTTGCAATGGAACCAAAATGGTCGTCACGAAAATGATGTCGAAATTCATTGCACTTGAATCCCTTACCTGATCTTTTAAAAGTACCAGGGTATTTATTCTAAGGTTAATTGTTCTACCCGTTGAGCCTGACCTTTCTTTTACATTGAGTTGGGAAACTTTCATTAAGACTTGCTGTTCTTATGACCATCCACAAAACCAACGATAACCACTAGAATTCAGTTGGTATTTATTTGCCATTATTGCATTTTTCAGTCATGGACAAGTTTTATGTTGCATTTTCAAGATCAAAGTCCTTCCAGCAAGTCAAGGTAAAAGTCTTAGGAACTGACCAACAAGGCAACGTAAAGAAAGACCCCAGACTTTACACCATAGATGTAGTCCACATAGAAGTTTTCGTCCTATAAGTTAACTTGATAGCCAGTCGTGGCTTTATTAATATGTGCCAAAATAATCTCGTTCCCCGACCTTAGAACGGGTAATTCAGCTGGTATTATTATAAGGTATACGCCACTACCTCTCCCACATTGTGGCATTGTGTGGTCGCCATGTTGACCCACATCCTACCGCCTGCACTCTGCAATGATTTAGGCTAATGCTCCAATCTTATAGGAAAAAATATCAAACCATCATCTGCAACTCAGACATTCCATCATTTAATTAGTTTAGATTTAAGAAAAAACAAACATTTGAAACGTTGAGTTTAAGTATTAATTGACAGTACAGGAGTACTGATGAGCCAGATAACAAAATATTTGTCTCCAACCGGTGCACTTGTCATATAAATAGTACATTAGTCCCGTATTTTTAAAAATAGGCTACAGATGTTTTTCATCAGTTTTTTAGGAATACCCAAATAGTATGAGAGGAACTTTTCCTCGAATAAAACAGTATGTACTTGTAGCAGTAATTGAAGGTGACGATCACATGACAGCGGGCTGACACTGAATTCCCTTCCTCAACAATCCATTTGAGAATTGCATTTCTCACCCCCCCCCCTCATTTACCCCCTCCCACCATTGAGCCAACGCTCTCACCCCTCCTCCCCCACTCCACCAAAGTTAGTCTTTATTGATAGATAGGGAAAACAACAATTGTGTTGGCCGCCCCCTCGACCAATTTTAAGAACATACCTTTTTTTTTTTTTTGTACAAGCGTGTACATCGCCAGTGGTTCCACCTTTTGCAGTTTGAATTTTCGAAACAGTTGACTCATAATTATCACCCAATCACAACTTCCTCCCCCACTCCACCAAAGTTAGTCTTTATTGATAGATAGGGAAAACAACAATTGTGTTGGCCGCCCCCTCGACCAATTTTAAGAACATACCTTTTTTTTTTTTTGTACAAGCGTGTACATCGCCAGTGGTTCCAACTTTTGCAGTTTGAATTTTCGAAACAGATGACTCATAATTATACCCCAATCACAACTGTGCCTAGCGTATTTAAAATTTAAAAAGGGGGAGAAAACGTGGACGTTTATACAGATGCATAAAGGTATCAAGTGCTAACAGAGGGTTACATTAAAATCTGGAGCTGTGAGTGGTTACAGTCTAATATGTAGAACTCTTAGGTATGAGTTATTGTTGTTTTTTTCTCCCTGAAACATAACATCTCCTGCCAAGGAGTTTATGTCTGATATGTTGCAATGTTTGACCCATGGAGCTTATCCCAACATCATCATCAGTGGACAGCGTCTCAACCCGGTGGATAAATTTAATTACTTGGGCAGCACCCTCTCTAGATCTGTCGTCATGGATGATGAAATGAATGGCAGACTCGCAAAAGCTAGTGCCCTATTTGGCAGGCTCCGCAGCACTGTTTGGGACAGGAGAGGTATCAGTCGAGAAACGAAGATCAAGGTCTATAGCGCAGCAGTCCTCTCGACATTGCTCTACGGATGTGAAACGTGGACAGTCTACCAGCGTCACGCCAAGAAACGGAATCATTTTTACACAACCTGCCTCAGGAAATCCTCGGCATCAGGTGGCAAGACAAAGTTCCTGACACAGAGGACCTCGCTAGAGCGAACCTACCTAGTATCTTCACCACTCTGATGGAGTCTCAGCTCCCTTGGATGGGACACCTAGCCCGTATGAAAAGATCACGGTCTCCCGAAACAGATATTCTTCGGAGAACTCTCGATAGGCAAGCGCTCCCAAGGAGGTAAACAAAAAGCGTTACAAAGACTCACTGGAAGTGGCACTAAATGCCTTCAGCTTAAATCCTACTTAATGGGTGCAGACAGCCCAGGACAGAGCCAGGTGGAGAGCTTCTGTCAAGAAGGGGGCTAAATCCCATGAAGCTAATAGGATATCCACAGCTGAGACACGCAGGCTTGCCCAAAAGAGCAACATTAGGTCCCCAACTGAAGCAAGTATCCCCAACCCACGGTGCCAAAGTTTATTCTGAGCACGGATCGGTCTGGCAAAGACATCTACGAGCTCACCATAACCCAATCTCCCCCTAACCTTGGATAACCCGATGGTTCTAGTCGACTTCGACGGACCAACAACAACAACATCCCGGAAATGGTGTAGTGATTGACTAAGATGAACACTTGGTATTTGACGTATAACAAAGTTTACTCTTTATATTATGTATTATATCATAAAATTATTCATTAAAATTAAGTGCTTGCGGTGAAATGACTTAATGCTCAACCAAGGAGGACAATTCTCGTAAGAGTTACTACCTGCTTATGTCTAGGGGATTTACATTAACCATTAAATCATACACAAAGGGACGTAATTCAATTCAAATACTCTTATAAGTATTTTTAATAAAGTCTATAACGAATTTCATAAAATAAAATGAGCTTATTTGTAACATTATGTTTACAACACTTCATAGGCATAACAAATCTTATCAGTAAGAAAATCAATAGCTTATAGCAACGCTTAATTCAAAATTTACAGATAATTTTGCAATCGAGGTTTCGAAGACCATGGGTAATGGCCTCCAGTTATAGCCTAACTAGTTTATCATAATAAGTTGCTACGTAAAAAAAAGATACATGTGTCTTCTACAGAGTATCAATATTATTATAACAGATGATCGTCTCGTCCTTTCCTTCATGGCTTCTCTGGGCGAGAACAAAATGGACTTCCCAGCTATGCTTTGTGGAATAGCCTTTCCAGATGGACGTTGTGGGATTGGAAAACCCAGCGGTATGTTGGCCACATAGCCGGGTACCCGTGGGCCCACATTGCCGGGTACCCGTGGGCCCACATATCCGGGTACCAGTCGACAGCCTGAGGCGGGTATCCGGGCACCCGTTAACAGCCCCATCGGTTATTGTGTTGACATGCATGTAAGTGTTCATGTCGGTCATTGCTTCAATAACATGGAGGAAACAGGAAACAAATAACACATTAACTGTCAATCAGGAAAAAAACACCGTTTTTCCCATTTCTAAAAGTTGATAATCGATTTAATCACACACAACCCCCCTCCCACCCTCGTTGTGAAGCACAAGCATATCAGCCGATTGACAGTACGGCTGGTTTACGTTGGAAAGGAAATAAAACATATGCTGGTCCGACACAGGCGGCATTATCCGTAGCTTCGCTACGGGGTCCTCCCGGGCAATGTGAAGACTTATACGTTTTAACGCTAGCTTATCCTACAGCGGTGTACACAGTATTCAATGGATTAAAGTTCCATTTGTATTGTTTGAAAAACACCGACGAACATGTCGAAACACTTCGGGGCATGACATTATTTTTTTTTTAATTAAAGAGATATTTTAGACGACTGTGTAGACCTTCAAGGTCTCAACCCATGGATTGCGAACTGAAATATATCATTCGTTTTATGAGTTTACACAAATTATAACGTTAATAAAAGTAAAATAAAATAATGAAATTAAAACATTTCTAAATAAGTGGCTTATAGTTTAAATATTAATAATAGAAATCGATCCCATAATTCTTTTACACAGGCCTGGAACTGTGGATTTTCAAACCTTCTTGATTTGGAAAAACATTTTTAACAAATATGAATGTTCAGAATGACAACAGATTAATTGATAAAAGCAATTAGGAAAACTCAACAGTGAAACAATTTAACAAGCTACGGTTTCGAGCATCCCATTAAATATGTTTTAGGTTAAAAATAAATAGATGAAATCTTAATGATAAATTTAACTTGGATGTGTTGTCTTTTACCGTATTTACACTATTCACAAATCTATCCGGTGTCACGAATCATTTTGCTTCCAATAAGTGGTATTGTTGGTCACTTTGCTTCTTTAAAAGGGGTCGTGACTTATTAAATTGTTGGGAACCTGTGGTGAAGACTAAAGCCTGTAATCTATTAAATCAATAGGCACGAATAATACTGATTAAAGGTGCTAAATTGGGTATATTCAATTGTGCAGCGGTGGTGCGCGGCTGTTTATATATTTACATATCTCAGGTATGATTTTATTTTAAATTGATATACATTTTGAACATGAGTTTATCCTTGCTGTTAAACAATGCTTGGTGAACAAGAACAATTTTATTTTTTGTTTTACCCCTGTCATATTCTTTCTTTAAGAGTACTTTATTTAAATGTGGTGTTTATTTTTAAAGTTAATTGCGTCTTACGGGGGGACATGCGTAGAAAGCATCTGGCAATGGCCATTTTTACACAGGCGTGTGTGCGTTCATTAATGAGGAGATTTGTCCTTGAACAAATGAGACACTCTTATATTCTGATTGCAAGTATTAATTTTTTTTTTAGCCCTGGTATTTACATTTTGAAACAGTTATTAAAAACCGATCTTATCAGTAGCGTGTCGTGACTTGCCCATCGGTTGTTTGGCTTCTTTCGCAGAAAGCTCTGGGCTGCTAATTTTCCGGGTTTATTTTATTTATTTATTTATTTTTTGTTGTTGTTTCTTATCCTGGAAGAACCGGACAAAAGTCACGCAATTCCTGAAAGCTCGGAATAAGAGTGACAGTCCTGGGGAATCCCGGGATAAAATTAATAACATTAAAAAATTATTTATCAACTTGTTATGGAGACGACGTGTTTACGTCACGTTCCCCGTGCCGTGAACTCTGACTGACCCCAAATTAGGCACATTAGGCGTGGCTAATTTCCTTTGATCTTGGCCTTTTTTTTACTACCACTACCAATTAAAAATAATTAATATATATATATATTATCAGTTAATATATGTAATAATAATAATTAATACAATGTGTACGGTTGTTCGAGATCTTTCAGGAGATTAGGATAAAAAAGCGGGATTCCTTTTTGAAGCAGGACATATGTTTACTTCACATAATAATTGTGTGTTATTATGTGTGTGTGAATTCGTATTCATCATTGTACCTTATTTTTGTGGCACATTGTATTAACTGTGTACCGGTACAAGATATCCCATACTCTGTAATTTGATGATTGTAATTATATTTCTTTTCTTTTGTGATTATATTGAAACTTAAATAAATCTTATTAATTTTAAATTAGAAACTGTTTTGAGTGTCGTATTTTTGTTATTGTATTTCTCATATGGTATATTCCTTTGTTATGTACTGTTTAGAACGAGCCATAAACTTAAAATAAGAGATTAATTTCTCACCATGGAAGGCAGTGCTTAACACAACTATATAAGAGTTGAGTTCTCTATTAATGGATGAAAAATGATGTTTAGGCTAGGTTAAAATCTGGTGACTTTGCTAAGTGTTGCTTAATTTCCCACTGCTTAGCCCTAATAGTAAATAACTCGCTAAACCATGCATCTCAAAAAAAATTTTGGAAAGGATTTCGGTGATGTCGCCTGCTGCAACAGCAGAATACGAGAAATTGTTATTTCTAAACAGTTTTCTTGTTTTATTGGTGTCTTAAAATTGAATGACAAGTTCAATCGTGACATATTAAATATATGAGTGACTATTATCTGATATAGCAGAATTATTTTTTTTTTTCAAAATGTTTTATTTCATACATTTTCATTTAAAAGCCTTTTCCCCAATATATCTCGGTAAAGGCCAATGTTCTTGAATATAACTGGTCGTCTTGAAAACGCTTGGTAATCTGTGTGCTAGGGTTAATGAGCTGTATAACTCGGCGCAGTGAACTATATTTCAAACATCCTGGTTTATATCGACAATTGTTCAATGCATCTCAAATTAAATCACCGAGGAAGACTCACTTAAGTGGAGATAATTCGTTGGATCTTTTCACTACTGTTGTTCGTCAAGATTGAACGATAGAGTAATGTTATTATCTGAACACGGTCTATCGTAGGCCCTCAGGGAGAAACTAAATTACATTAGCGTGGTTGGATTATTTCGGCATGTACGCCTTCAAAATATTTATCTACCAGCATTTCCAGCTTCACTTTTTTTCATACACTGCTAAGATCTTAAACAAATATTATGGTGAACTACCTACCGAAAAGTGACGAAGCATTATGTAGAGAGCATAAATATTACACGCGAATAAATTTAATATACAGAACAATCATGTTTACTATTTCCGTCCACGTATGTATTTGACAGATTTGTTTGACAAGTGAAAAGAAGAACGATGGAAGCTCAGCATCTAGCAGATTCTCCAGGAAATGTGATAAATGTGGTAAGTTGCTATACGGCAAGTTTAGACGACAAAAAGATAGTTTTTACTGAAAAAAATCTTTAATTGTTAGTATATAATCTAAACTTGGATGAAAGCGGAGTAAAAGTTCCATTAGTTTAAAACATTTATACACTAGTTTCAATATGTTAAAAACAACCACACACATTCCCAACAACATCAGAACCTCTAAAAAACTTAAGAAGGAAGAAGAAATGTAAATGGTTCGAGATATGCAATACTTTAATTTATTGTTGTAAGTTAATCAAGGATTACATTTCTACTTTTATAAAATTATTTTTTAACATTGTAAATGAGCGAAGGGTAGGGTCTTCGGAATAGTAGTCGCAGCAACGATGTGAATAGTGTGCTCCATAAAGACCATAAACACCAGTCATATAACGGTGTTATAAAAAAACAACAACTGGTGTTGATTAATTAGTCACTTGTCATTCTGTAACGTAAAAAACAAAGCCCAGAATTTAGCCCAGATCGATCGCAGGGTCCAGGTGTGTATCCTCCGTGTTCTTAGAAAAATAAAAACTGATACCGCTATTACCAAGCCCATAATTTGACCTACATTACACGCATGATCTGCACCTGTAACTTTGCTAATAGAGCTGCAGTGCAATGGGACACTAAAGGCGAAGTACGACACAGTTGAGCCTGCACAGCTCACTCGTTTCATGCCTTAAGAAATGTCCCAGCTTCATCTACATGCAGCTCAAAACTTGCGCAAGTTGGGAAGCACATATATGTGTGAGCAGCTGTTTTCTGTGATGAAGGTTAAACAAAAAATCACACAGGAATCGTGTCATCAGGGCTGCCACTCACTTTTTTCAAATTTCCCAAGATTTGGTGAACAAATTTCCCAAGATTTCCCAAGATCATACAAATATATACGAGTTTTTTTTTTTAAAGGGGGGTTTTCTATGTAATTAATGTAATAATAGATTGAATCAATGCCCCTGAAAAACATGGTATATTAATGGACTGAAATTTATTGAAAAAGACATTTAAAACATGTTTATCACATTTAAAAAAAAAAAATTTGTTTTTAAAAAAATAATTTATAATCCAAAATATCAATACCCACTGGAGTTAGGCTACTAAATATTACCTCCGAATTCTCTGATAAAAATATAATCTACAATACATGTGTAATAGAAGTCACTTGGAAAAAAAAAGCATACAAGGCTAATCAACACAGAATTCCTTTTACAAAGGCAAAAGTTTCTTCATCAAAAAATGATTTTTTATTATTGTAAATCTGTTGATTACAAGTGGGGTTTGCAAAGCAATTAAGCAAAATTTATTAATAATAATTGTAGTTAAAATGGATTGATATTACGATGAAAACAATAAGTGTTTTATTTTTTCTTGTAAAATTTACATTATAACGATTTTTTCACAAAAAAAAAAATACTTTTAAAGGAATTGTTCATTTATAATCCTACAACGTAGGCCTATACTGCCTATACTATTAATATCTTAGTTACCCGTGTTTCAATCCACAAATATTTTTTCTAATTGATGAAAATTAGGCTGGATTTTTTACAGATGCATTATATTTTGAACACATTGTAGAAGTAATTGAAATAATAAAATTCTACTATGGCATGGATTCTTGATTGAACACTATCGTTCACTCTTTGGCTTGTACTGTTTTTCGTATGGTTGCTAATGTCTAAGAGCATAATGATAAAGTTTCCGAGCCCACCCCCCCCCCCATTTAATAAACATTCAAAACCTGGATGTAATTTGTAAATCTTCAATTTTTTTTTTTTAAAGAGAAAATTGAATTTTTTTTAAAAATTATTAACTTTTTAATAATTCACAATATTAACTTTAAAATCAGAAGAGTTTTTATTTATTTTATGAGTGGATTTAAAAATTAAAACCAGAAAAGAAAATGAAAACAATTAATTTTTTGCCTTGTTACTTTAAAAATTATTTTGCTTTATTTTTACTTTATTTTTTATCAGATATTGTTGCGTTTTTTTCGAAAAATATAACAAAATTTTCCCCCCAGTTAAGATTTCCCAAGGTTTTGCATGATTTTCAAAATTATTCCCCAGATCCCAAGGGGGGTCGTGAATTCCCAAGATCTTGGGAAATTTCCCAAGGTGTGGTAGCCCTGCGTGTCACTGCTGAACACTTGCAGTCCATCGTGAGAATCTCAATGACACAGAACGTCACTCCCAACATAAACGAACTGACTTGTTTTCGTAACCAAGAAAATGTGCCAAACATCCAGCTCTGACAAATGGGCATAAGAACGAACATGGATATGTTAATGATTTAAATTATTGAAACTTTTTTTTATGTTTCATCTATATAAATATTTTTTTGTTTTTTTAAAGATTAATTTTCCGTTTATTGAATGTTTATCCTGTTCGACCCTCAACCTTACATGTGTTTTGAGTTTTGGCCCACTGAGCAATTGAGTTTGGCACCCCTGTTTTATATGGACACACATCACCCAATCTCAGAATTTTGCAGCAATACCACGACGAATACACTGAAATGTCCTTAAGTTACTGTAAGGCAGAAAGATATGACGTGGACTTAAATAATTGAAAGCAAAAATAAATAACCTTTTCAAGTTAAACTTTAAAGAAAAACTGTACCACCATATATTACGAGTTACGAAACTTATGGAAATAGAACACAAACTTCGACTGTGAGTAACTGGGCAATGAAAATATTAAACACTTTCCAAGGCCTCTTTAAATACAGTTAGATAAATATAAAAAAGGCTCCTTCCCCCCAAATCTTCAAAATCGACTGCATTTCATAACAAGCAACTGAAAATAGCGTTTTATTATGCTACGAGTACCAGGTGTTGTTTATTTGGTTCTTCGTCCTACCCATGCAAAGATGACAGAGACTTTGTTCCACCGTGGGTGCTCCGGTTGCCTGGGAGTCCTATTTTTGCCAGGAAATCTCAATGCATGGCTCAGAGGTCATTTGATTCCTCTTGCTGTGCGTTTTTTTTTTATTAACATCAGGGGGTAAGTAAACTCTTCGAAGGGTGTGCTGTGCTCCAATGGCGAGTCTGCCCCGCCATGGTGGGGTGAGCAAAAGTGAATGTTTCGCATGAGTTCCTGTCAAAGTCGAGGGATTTGATTGATACTTTGAGGCCAACTTTGAAGGATTATTTTCCGTTATCCCACAGAAATCTCCCCTTTGGATATTTCACTGTAATTAGTTGCTTGATAAGTCTGTCATCTGGCAATCTTTCCACATGTTCTGTACTTAGTTGCTTGGGAAGCATGTATCTGGCACTCAGGCAACGCGTTCAGATCACCTGGCTTGTCCTTTCTGTAAACACCTGTGAATGTTGAGAAAGCCGGGATGTAGTCGGACTTCTGAATCAGGGTCTTTGTACTGCGACAGTTAGCCCATCACGTTGCGAAGACATAATAGTTGGAAATGATTTAGTAGTCTAGCAAGTATGCTGTACACTGGTCCATGTCTCACTGGCGTGAATATTAGTTGATAATTATTTTCAGCTTGGTGATAAAACTGACATTTCTAGTTCATCTGTGTGTTGTTGTTGTTTTATTTCGTGGGGGGGGAGGGGTGGTGGGGCTGGGGGTCAATTGGGAAGGGATTTTTAAAAAAAATAAATTTCAAGTTTTGGCTAAAATTACTAATATAAATGAAAAAGGACTGTTGTTCAAAAATTTTAATAGCACGATCACTCATATTTTTGACAGCGTGAAAAAGGATAATATCTTTAGTATTATATCAAAGAAAGGAGACATTGCAAGTCAATGTCATTATTCTTAATTAAAATTCACGTTTCTATTGATTTAAAAAGAAAATTAATTGATTGTTGAAGACGAAAAGAACTGGACAAACAAAGTAACAAAAGAGTTTTTGAAGGAAAAAGACAACGGGTAGCGTAGGGGTCACCAACAGTGACATTGTATCATCAAAACGTTAAATAAGATTACTTAAACTCTTATATATAGTTTTCTTCTAGTATGGCTGCTTCCTTTTCACAACCGGCCCTCGCCCTACTCAATATATTTTATATAAATAGTGCTGAGTGAAATTTTTTAAAAAGTGAGTGTCGTACGTGATGATTGAACTCAGGTAAAAAGATTGAATTTTTGCAGAGGCGATTATTATATTAATAAATAAAGAACATCCACGGGCATGCTTTATGAAATCTGTAGGAGTGTCTGTAGGACTATCTTTAGGATTGACTGTAGGACTATTCGAAATAAGTCAGCATAGGACTGTCCTTAGAAAATGAGCAGTTAATTTTTTATTTTTTTGTAACATTGAACCCGTTCCGGTATTTTCTCCAATTACTCGGATGCGGTGTAAAAAAAATAACTGCGCCCGGTTAACCCTTAGCCTTAAATATTTTTTCCGAAGTTATATTAATATTAAAAGTTTTCTCGTCGACTCCTCGAGAAGCAAGTCATCCCATGGGTGCTGGGGCTGGTTCTATGTGTGGGTGCGCAGATGGCCGAGGAGAACGTTTCTGGCACGTTCATTTCAATTCCTAGTACTTGCAAGGGAAAGACGAACGTTGTGGATCGCTCTTAAGTTCAGTATCTACTTCTCTGTTTGACTTTTGTTGCATGGAGCCACCATTTAACATGTAGATCGAACTCTTTTCTGTTCACACGTGTCCGGGCCTACCTAGATCCCTTGCAGTGGGACTTTTAGGGTTGTCTTGAAAGCGTTCCCTCTGAATGCCAACAGAGTGCTTTCTTTGGCCAAGCTTGTCAAGAAATATTATTTCAGACATCTGGCTGACTCTAGTGATCAGATTATCGCTTCTTGTGTGTCGATTAAAGGAAAGAAAAATCTGTGTTTTGGAGGGAGGGGGGCTGTCTTTTGTCTCTTCAATGATGCGTTCACGGTGAAATATTTAATGGATTAATCTTTAGATGGAAAAAGGTGCGCTTCAAACGCTTTCAAATTATTCAGCCAAGTGCTCGAGAGCTCCTTCCTTCTCTGGGATTAGTCCCATCTCTTCCGTACACAGAAGTTTGGGTGATTTCGATGACGCGGTTCCTTCCACTTATTTAAAAGCGCTGTTAAAGCTTGTCATGTCATTTGTCACCATCTTTTGTAGTCATTAGATATCTATTGATATTAATAATATTCGTGCTGGCATTTAAATTATTTCAATAGTGATGTGCTTCTTCATTTTTCGTGTTAACCATAATTTTTAAAACCATAGCAAAATTCTGTTGCTGCGGCAGAGCTTACACCCGAAAGAGGAGCTTCGATGAGTCAGCTCACTAGTCAGCAGGCACCATTTAAAGAGGAAGAAATTGATTTGGCAAAGGAGGTTGACAATTTAAGTGTAAGTATTCAAAAGAGTTAAGGAACAGTATTCATTACCGATAACGGCATCAGCCTAAAATAACATATGTAAATTCGATGTTTGAATTGTAAGTTAACAACTTGCAAACACATTTAATTAAGAAAGCAGACCACTAAAGTACAAGGTAAGTGAAACAAATTTAAATCTCATAGATGAATATTTTAAATCACATGTGTCAAACTCAAGGCCCGCGAGCCACATACGATCCGCCGTACAATTATTTAAGGCCCGCGAGGTCTTGACTGCGTAGACTTAGCCAAGTCAACGCTATTGTGTTTCCCAATGCACACTTTGCTGAAAAAAGTAGCTTATTTCGCACCTAGTTTGCACGGCACTTTAGTGACTTTGAAGCACAGAAATGTAATTTCGAGATGTTTCGTAACCTTTTTGTCATGAACGTGCAAACTGCACCTTTATATTTGCAGCTGAGCTAATAGAGCTGCAATGCCATGGGACACTAAAGGCGAAGTAAGACACAGTTGAGCCTGCACAGCTCAATCGTTTCATTCCTGAAGAGATGCCCCAGCTTCATCTACATGCGGCTCGAACCTTGAGCATGTTGGGTAGCACATATATGTGTGAGAAGCTGTTTTCTGTGATGAAGGTTAAAAAAAAATCACACTGGAATCGTCTCACTGATGAACACTTGCAGTCCATCATGAGAATCTCAATGACACAGAACGTTACTCCCAACATAAACGAACTGACTTGTTTTTGTAGCCAAGAAAATGTGCCAAACATCCAGCTCTGACAAATGGGCATAAGAATGAACATGGATATGTTAATGATTTAAATGATTGAATTTTTTTTATGTTTTCATCTATATAAATATTTTTGCTTTTTTAAAGATTAATTTTCCGCTTATTGAATGTTTATCCTGTTCGACCCTCAACCTTACATGTGTTTTGAGTTTTGGCCCACTGAGCAATTGAGTTTGGCACCCCTGTTTTATATGGACACACATCACCCAATCTCAGAATTTTGCAGCAATACCACGACGAATACACTGAAATGTCCTTAAGTTACTGTAAGGCAGAAAGATACGACATGGACTTAAATAATTGAAAGCAAAAATAAATAACCTTTTCAAGTTAAACTTTAAAGAAAAACTGTACCCCCAGATATTACGAGTTACGAAACTTATGGAAATATAATAAAAAATTCGACTTTGAGTAACTGGGCCTGTGAGTGTTTTGTAAGACCTGTAAAATTTTAAAACAATTTTTAACATCATAAACGATCAATGTCTTGCGCTGCGAGTAGTGTATATGTTTTGTCTTGGAATGGATTCGATTGAGGAAGACATCCAAAAGCTGTTGGAGAAAAATTACCAGGAACAGAAAATCGAAGAACTGATGGATCTGCACCGCGAACTACAGTAAGAGGGTATGGAAACGATGCCGTCCGAGGAGGAGGAAGAGAAAAAAACACGAAGAACTTGTGATGCTTTAAGCGTGATTTGTTAAACATGTTATAGAAGAGCAAACCACCTCAAAAAGGGCGTGGCAAAATAAGCGATGAATCAACTTAAGACAGTGCAACATGTTATAGAAGAGCAAACCACCGGAATAAGGCCGTGGCAAAGCGAGCGATGAATCAACTTAAGACAGTGCAACTTGTTATAGAAGAGCAAACCACCTGAAGAAGGCCGTGGCAAAGTGAATGATGAATCAACTTAAGACAGTGCAACATGTTATAGAAGAGCAAACCACCGGAATAAGGCCGTGGCAAAGTGAGCGATGAATCAACTTAAGACAGTGCAACATGTTATAGAAGAGACACACGCAAAGATCATTGGATAGGTTCCTTGCTAAAGTTTCTAAAACATAACATAATATGTCCATGAGCCAACAGTAAGCCGCGTTTCCATTAGTGACACACTAGTGACATTCATCACACTCAACACTCCTCTTATTATTCTTCTCTCTCTCTCTCTCTCTCTCTCTCTCTATCTCGCCCCAGCAACGATTTTGTTAAAATTTAATTAATACATTTAATTAATTGATTATCAACAAATTTTAAAAAGTAATTTGTTCTAAATATAACTGTGCTACTAAAAGAATCATTACAGATAGCCATTATATCTTATGGGGAGATTCGCTTTCATATTCAAGTGTCTTGACTTTGAAGCACGGTTCCTAAACACATTGTGCTCGTAATCCAAAGTTTTATTATGCTTGATCAAATTTATAGTTAGTAGACCTCTAGAACAAGGGTCTCAAACTCACGGCCCTTGTGCCATTTGCAATCTGACACAGTATCAAAGAATCCTTATTAAATGCACAGCTAATGTTTTCAAGTGAGGGAAATTCAGAGCCTGTCAGTATGGTCACTTTCAAAATAGGGTTAGTCAAAAAGACATTTTCTAAGATTTAAAAAAATCAAAATTCAGAGTGCACGCACGAGAAAAATTATGTAAACAAGCTCTATATAACAGGGAGCACATATCTTAAAAGCTCTTTTCCACTATAAAATTTAAAAATTGAAAGTTCATGGTAAAATTACTGATGGGCATCTTCAAGCTATACTGAGGATCTTGGTTGCAACCTCACTCAGGCCAAATGTTGTTCAGCTGCGTAAGAAGAAGTGCTGCCAAGTCTCTGGCAATAAGGAGTAGGAAGAAGAGAGTCAAGATTAGTTCTTAAGAACCCATACTGTTTTTATGTGTTAATATTAAAGGCTGAGCAGATTGTAACAGTTGTAATTTTTTGAATTTATAATCGCATTTTTAAACACTTGGTGAGGCCCAGTCTCACTCAGACCCTACCTCCTGCGGCCCAGTCTCACTCAGACCCCACCTCCTACGGCCTAGTCTCACTCAGACCCTACCTCCTGCGGCCCAGTCTCACTCAGACCCTACCTCCTGTGGCCCCCGGATGATTTGAGTTTGAGACCCGTGCTCTAGAAGCTAGTACAATTTTATAAAAATCTTTGTGGTGGATAGGTAATTTATCGAAATGTCCCAATAGAAACCAGAAGCAATGGGCAGTGATATCGTGTCAGTCTGTGTGTCTAGACTTATCTATCAAGCGTTATCTATCAGATTGTCTTTCTTAATATACAAGTCTGTATGTGTGTCTATCTCTATGTTGTTTATTTGCATCCATGTTTAAATATATAATAAACTATTTATGCAGAAAAACCTTGTAGCGATATCCCTGAAACAAGAAGTTATCAGCTTGCTGCTTATAGGACCTCAAGGAAGTGGGAAAACCTCGACGGCCAAAGCAATTTTGGGATCCCAAAGTGAAATCTTTGAATGTGGTCCAAAAACTAAGATGGGTACTACCCATTTTGACAATTATGAGCTGAACGTCATCGAATGTTCTGAACTGTTTGGGGATGAGAACAGCTACGGCTATGTTATGGACAGTAAACAAATGTGCTCTAAAATCATGTCCGATATATTGAAGGTGATTCCTAAAGGTATTCACGCACCAGTTTTCGTTCTGAAGTTTGAAATCACTCCCAGCAATACAAATGCAGTACTAGAATATACTTTTCTGAAACGGATGTTTGAACCCAAGTTCATCAAGGCCCATGGCATATGTCTGGTGACTAGAGGTGACGTGTTCAATGCCAAGTTTCACAGAGATTTAAGCGAGCTGACGTTTACAAATTGGTGTCGGCAACAGGAGGGACTGCTCAAAGAAATCTTCGAGGCCTTCAACTACAGGTGTTTTCTGATTGACAACAAAGAAACAAATGAAGAATTACTGCAGAAACAAGTGCGAGATTTGATTTCATTTGTGAAAAGAGACTGGCCCGAGCCATTGCTGGTCTCTGTCAGTAAGTATCTAATTTGATGGCCCCAGCCAGGGCTGATCTCTGTCAGTAAGTATCTATTTGACAATTGTTTTTTTATTGTGTATACAAAACGTGACAAATGTTACCAAATAATTATGCAAATGATTTAAAAATGAAAGCTCCATCCCATGATCACAATATTAAATCCCTGAACTGTTATTCTCAATAAAGTCATTGATATTAAATAAATGACTTCCATTCATATTTTACTAAAATATGGAAAACATGGCAAAACAAAATGTACTTTTAAATCATCTTTATAAAGACGAAATTAAACTTTCTGTTCCATTATGTTTAATTTACAGCCACTCATAAAAATGTCTAAGATTTCGCCTCCGTAATTCGCCTTCGGTATTGCTCTGCTTTTTTTTTTTTTTTTTTTTCCCTCCCCCCCCCCACACAAAAAAAAGTAGGTCAACTTTCACATAGGAAAAAAAATATATTAAAAAATCTCTAGATCCTGATATGCGAGCCCGAGCAGACGTTACCATGGTCGTCGAAATAGCGAGCAGCAAGGATGTCTACCAGAACCAGGTGGAGCTTACAACTGGTTACATCAGCAACTATGAAAACAGCCAGTCGGAAGTAGAGATTAATGTTATAACTGTTGGAGAAAAGGAACACCAAACCTACTGTTTGAAAGATTTCAGCTGTCACCGGGATTTGATTGGGGTAGGTCATTAAAGTATTGAAAAGTGACAAGTTCTAATATGCCCTTGCATTTTTACTACGACCTGCGTTGAAAGCGAATCAAACGAACTTTTTAAATTTGTATTTTTACACGAGCTTGCGTTACCTGGTCAAGACAGGTTCTATGTTTTAAGATTCTGAGTATCAAAATAAAACTAATTAGATCTATCATTTTCCTTCTTAGGCCCTTAAAGACTCTCCATATTTGGGACCATGTTCTGGAACTCAAAAAGCCTTGATGTTAGCTCAAAAAGTCGTTGAAGACTCAAAAGCAAAACATCCAGATGTCAAGCAGATTACAATCATTATCAGTGAGGGACAGTCCCAAGACGAAGAGAGTGTAGTGGCTGAAGCAAATAAGCTGAAGGAGCTTGGAACAAAAGTTGTGGTGGTCGGGGTCAAGTGTACCAACCAGCGGTACCTGGAGAAAATCGCCTCTGACCCTGATGACGTCTATGTGGTCACTGGTTATGGGGAACCAATAAAAAAGCTAAACCACAAATTAAAAAGTCAGACATGTGTCTATGGTAATTTCTAGAGTTTAGAGAGTTAAGACTTGGCAATATCTAAATGGTGGGCTTAAATTAATGTGGTCCTACTGTTTGTGCTATGTTAATCCTGTTGACTATTTCACATATAAAATCTTTACATTTTAAAAACTATTCCAAAGGTCCTTCAAACAAAATATGGTCTATTAATTTCACACAGCTAGCGCATATGGAAGACATCTGCTCGCACACAAAACGAACTGTCCATACGTGACTTTCCAATATGAAAGAATGATCCGCGTCAAATTCATAGAACGCCCAATACATACATTAAATGTGACACAAGAACAAAAGATATTAATAACGAGTTATTAAATGATGTTCGTCATTTGAGTATCTTCTGTCAAATCAAGCTATTTTATTGTGTTTTGGGTGTAGTGTAATTGGAATCAACCAGAAGTAATATTAAAATTAGTATTTTTTTCTGGCAGGTCCAGCGTTCCAGTCAACAGCTGACATATTGTTCCTCATAGACTCCTCTGGAAGTATCAGCCAAGTGAACTACAAAAAGGAGCTCACATTTGTTGTGAAAGTAGTAGAGTGCTTCAACATCAGCCCGGAAGACGTCCAGTTTGCTGCCATGACATTCTCAAGGGAAATAATCACTTTGTTTGATTTCAACAGCAGAACCCACCAAGAGATCAAACAGGTCTGAATCAGGCATTCATTCCACAAGAGCAAATAAAGATATTATAATATATGTTAATTTTTTAAATTTATACATTATTTTCAATGTGGAAAGTCAAATATTTTATTTTTATTGAAAACATTTCAAAATTTAAAATGCTACGTTTAGTAAATAGTATACACTGGAATTAACCGGATGCAGGTTTCGTTTTTCACACCGGGTACAGGTAAATTAAGAAAACACCATGTGGGCCCAAGTGTTTCAAAAACAAAATGAGTTAAGTTCTCATTTTCTGTACTATGCAACGAAATATACTGCTCCATGTCGTAGTGAGTAATCATGCCTTCGTTAACCATTTGTGTCAATAAATAACCCACTGAGAGTATCAGGAAGTTGCCGGATCCCGGAATAGAGATGACGTTAAACAAAAACCCGTCGACAGAGAAGATACTGTTGTTGTTTTTTATAACAAAGACTTACAAAACAATATTCGCAGCATAACGAACATAGCAATACCTTCCTGTAGAAGGCCACGGTAAAGAATCACAGGCGGACACATCACCCAAGTGAAAGGACGGCCGATGACCCAATTCTATGTGGTGTGCAGCCCCCGAACAAATATGTGAAAGAACAGTGACATGTTAAAAATATTCCGTTTCAAGAAAAAAAAATGAACCTATTTTCCCGAGTTCAGACGTCACGCATTAAGCTCACTGCGTCACAGCGTCACAGCCTTTTTTCACTTATTATTATTTTTAAAAAAACAACATTTGGATGGGGGCGGTTTTAAAGAAAAAGCAGGACGTACCAGAAGCAATATTATATATATATATTAGATACATTGGCTTTAAAACTTACTTTATCTAATGTAAACTATATTCAAAGTAATCCAAATTATGTTCCTGCTTTATTTAACTAGTAGGATCATAATGCTTGAATTTTCGTGTGTTTAAGGCGGGAACTATATGGCTGTTATATTGTTGACATGACAGCGATACACAATGACCGCGACGTTGTTGTTCGTCCGTCAAAATCGACTAGGACCATCGAGTCATCCGCGACGTACAATGGCAGTTGCACACATTGACAGTGGTAAACGCTGACAGTGAGACAAAATGACAGTAGGACACACTTTCATTGGTTCACGGAGACAGTGGGTCACAATGATAGTGGGACAAAATCACAGTTTCCTAAATGAATGTGAAACACTATGACAGTGGGACAATATGGCGGTGAGACACAATGAAGGTGGGGCACGATGACAGTTGGACACAATGACAGTGGGATACAAAATATCGGTGACTTGAATTCTGAAACACATGGAAGAGAAAAGTTCTCAGGAAAATAAATGGACCAAAAAAAGGATGAATATGGATGGAGAATACGAAACAACCATGAATTGTAAAGTCTATATCAGAATACCATTATCAGATAGTAGCAGAGATAAAAGAGGGTCGGCTACAGAGGAGTGAAGAGGGTCCATCACAAAAGCCCCAGAGAAAAAACTTCTCACAGGCTGACCTAGGCTTAAATAGATGGATGATGTGGAAAAAAGATCTACAACAGCTGGAAATCCAATGCACGGAAAAGAAAAGCATTTGTTGGTCTGAGTGGAAGGAAGTAGTGAGGTAGGCCAAAGCCCTACATGGGCTATAACGCCACTGAGATGGATGGATGGATGAATTCTGAGGTTGATGAACCGATGATATTCCGCACTGTCGAAGAGACATCAAGAGCTTTTTGCTACCATATATCGTTGGCTGTCAAACACATTTCTTGTCTTGAAAAAGTATTGGCATCCTACTGAACTTAAGAACGATCATGATATAAAATAATGACATAAAATTTTGTTTGAAAAAAATAAGTCTTGTTGAAACTGACATTCAAAAGATTACCCAGCACCTCTTTAGCAAGAATTAATCTTTTACTGGTAACGATCTTGAATTCCAACCACCGTGTCTTTTTCAATGATAAAAAACAACAACACGAAACATACTTAATAATTTCATTTTTTTTTTCATTACTCTCCACAGCGTTTCATTATCAACTTTGTTGTCTCACAATATTGCAATTATAAATGCATGGTGTAGATCTTTTTATTGTAAAATTGTAAAATTGAATATCGTATTTAAGGCCACACTCGGCGCAACATATCAAGGAGGAGGAACCCCAACGGCCCAGGCCCTTAAGGCTGCAAGAGAACATTTTGCCAGAAGACAGGATGACCGACGGTCAGTTTCAAAGAAAATCACTATCGTCATCACTGACGGGGAATCAGATAACAAGAGCGAAACTCGTAGAGAAGCTCAACTACTCCAAGACGACGAAGTTTTGGCTCTGGCCATAGGGGTGGAAAATGCAAATCGACAAGAGCTGGAAGACATCGCGTCCCTCCAAGATGATGTTTACTGTGTGGACAACTTTGATGTGCTTGAAACAATCAAAGACGAAATTGCTGGTAAAACATCAAAACTAGGTAAAGCTTTTCCCGTTTAGTCTACATTAAAAATTATATTAAAAGATCCACCAACGCAGATACAGAAAAAACAACTAAGCATTAGTGACAGGACTGCCTTGATTTCAACTAAGCATTAGTGACAGGACTGCCTTGATTTCAACTAAGCATTAGTGACAGGACTGCCTTGATTTCAACTAAGCATTAGTGACAGGACTGCCTTGATTTCAACTAAGCATTAGTGACAGGACTGCCTTGATTTCAACTAAGCATTAGTGACAGGACTGCCTTGATTTCAACTAAGCATTAGTGACAGGACTGCCTTGATTTCAACTAAGCATTAGTGACAGGACTGCCTTGATTTCAACTAAGCATTAGTGACAGGACTGCCTTGATTTCAACTAAGCATTAGTGACAGGACTGCCTTGATTTCAACTAAGGATTAGTGACAGGACTGCCTTGATTTTAACTAAGCATTAGTGACAGGACTGCCTTGATTTCAACTAAGCATTAGTGACGGGACTGCCTTGATTTCAACTAAGGATTAGTGACAGGACTGCCTTGATTTTAACTAAGCATTAGTGACAGGACTGCCTTGATTTCAACTAAGCATTAGTGACAGGACTGCCTTGATTTCAACTAAGGTTTTTAAATTTTTCTTTTGTAGATAATTGGTTTTTTTTTTAAAATCAAACATTTAGTAATTCGTTTATTTCGTCTTGCAATAATGCAATAAGTAATTAGACATCATATTATCTCCATGCTCGTGCCAAGCAGCCTTTCCCTCTGAGTGGCCATGCACATATTAACGCAGCACCACTTATGTATATCAAACGATCCGGATGAGCAAATTACGCTACATAGTGATCAGCTCCGTGATGGCGAATTCTTTCTCTTAAATTTAGGACCGAGAGATAAACAATCATTTTGTCTGTTCCAACACCAGCGTGGTCCCCCCCCCCCCCCAACGATTACACAATCTAAATGCTCACACATTAAGTTGTTACTGTTGTTAATGGAGTTCTTTTAAGGATGATTTCTACGCTAGAAAAGACTTGTGATGTCTTCTGTTTAAATATTTGTAATTATGACATATTGTCTTACTTATAAATAGGTACTTATGTATATGCTGAAAATGAATATGTAAAATGTAGAAAAAAAACCTAATTATTAGGATTAATAAAGAATCTCATCTCATCTTATTTAATGGTGACGCCACTGAATTTAATGGGAAACCTGCGCTTGAGTTAATGTTTTTTTATATGTAGAGAATACATTTTAAATTTGCAAGAACTGCCAAAAATTCTTTTAATTCTTATAGATTTAGGTAGTTTTAAACTGATATTAGATTGTTATCATTGCCCCAATAACATAATACACGCTGACAAAAGAAATGTAAAATCTTTTAATTTTAAACCTAAGAACGAAAGCAGTGTGTAGCTATTACATAACGGTATATATTTAACAACTTATTTTAACATGAGAAATCACAAACTAAATATACCCCAGGATTAAATGTAAGCATGTGATTCTCATCCCTCAAAAATAATATATCCATTATTAAAATTAAACTCATATACAGAAGGAGGTAAAACAGATTCATTAGATCTTTATTTTTATTATTTTTTTTTTTTTTACAATTCCATACAGAGAAGGCAAAGAGAGAAAGAAGACAGCGAGTTTTCGTTGAGCCTGAACTTGAAGATGTCAATGTTCCGTAATTATATGAGACAAGGAGACGCAGAGATGGCGATGAAGTAAAGATTGAACTGACCTTTTATTTATATAGAGGACTAAATACTAAACTTTGATGTATGAGTTAACATAACCATTTTTATGTATATATAAATATATACATGTATATTGTCTATAGTGGATATGTGTAATTTTTTGTTCAATATCATTCTATTTTATTGAATGGGCTACGCGTGCATTTTCTAAGCTCTACATTTCTCATTTTTAATTAAAATAACAATGAGCGTTCCATTTTTATCCAACTTTTAAACACATTATTATTTTTAAAGTGTTCAAAACTCCGTCAAGGGTTGCGTGCGGTTTTGTGGATCATCGAAAAGATTGGGAACCCTTGATTCAAGAAATAATATAATTTTTACTCGTAGGATTTTTAAAACAGGATTGTCTTTCATGCGTAAGCCTAAAAATAACTAACATCCAAAAATATGAAAAGAATTAAGAGAGCTCAAGAGAACCAAACAGAACCCAAGAAAAAAACAACTGATTATTAAATGGTAATATAGATTTGATATGTTTCTTTAGATTAAGACAAACAAATTTTGGTTGAAAAAAATAATGAAAAAAGAATACTTTCTGTCAAATTTCAGCATCTTATATGACCTCCGTATTTAACTTATACAAGTACTATCATGTTTTACTATATACAAAATAATTCGTATTTAAATTGCGTGCTTTTCATAATTTTTAAAACACTTAAATAATATGTTCATTAGTTACATGTCGCGTTGATGTCAAACTGTTGATATAAAAAAAAAATTGTTTGGTATATACCTTGAGTTGAAGAGCGATGTCAATAAGATTTAGAGTTTGTGTCAGGTCGTGTTTTAAGTGGTTTGTAACTTGATGTGTGTGTATCCTTCTTTGGAAATGTAATTCTTCGTAGGTAAAAGGAGTGTCTATGAAGAAGGAAGGAAAATCTTTATCACAATTTTATCACAAAGAAAAGAGGAAAATTATTTACTAGAGAAAGAAGGTTGATTTGATTTCCCTGATGAAACAGCTAAGATCATGTCTAATGACCAGTCTTATAATAAACAGCTTGGAACATGTTTTAAAATGAACAATATAGACCATGTTTGATAATGAACAGCTGAGACCATGATTTATAATGAACAGCTCAGACCATGATTAACTCGTTACACTCTTCATGGTCCATATCATGAGCGGACATTTTTGCCAAGATCAAGACTTTTGCAATATTTATTATGTTGAAGTGTTCATAGCTAATATGATCACTAATTAAATAATTAATTTGAGTAATGTGGTTCTTTTATGGAAAATTTCTACGCGAAATAAATACTTAGATCTCTTGTGTTTAAATTGTTATAATATAATATGTTGACTTGTTTAAAAATACGTAAAGGTAACTTTAAAAAAAAAAACTTAATTAATTCAATGAAATTTCAACTGGTGTTACTAGAAAAATAATGAAACGTTTAAATTGCCATAAAACAATTTTTATTTAATTTTAAAAAGAGAGCAATAATAATAATCAACTTTATTTCAAAATTAAGTGTCCATAAAGTTGATTCTGATAGACTACGTTGTTGCAACCAAGTACTGGCATATGTGCAACGGTTTGGGAAACGGTGCGGCCATCCTAACCGCTCCCAGCGGGTGCCAGGGCAGCCTTGAAACTCTCGATTGATGTCGAGTCCTAGGCGGCATTGTCCAGTTGGTTCCCAGCAATTATTGTTGGTGGGAAGAATGATTGTTTATATTGGACTGTGTTACATCGAGGCACATTGAAGCGTTTATCATTGTTCCGGGTGTAACTGCTTATGGAGTTGTCAGAGGTGAAGTCAGTGTTTATTGAGCGTTTGGCTCTGATTAATCGACCTGGATTCTGTGGGGTGAGATACGTGTTTGCTGGGGTGGCCGGCACAAGCCCCGTGACCACTTTATAAAGAAATGTTATACGGAGCTTTTCTCGCCCTTTTTTGAGGGGGTGGGGATGTCAAATATTTTTAAGAGGCCAGTGACGAAGCCAGGAGTGGTGGATTTGTAGTCACCCTCGATGAAGCGCACTAAGTTGCGTTGTATTCGCTCCATTTTGTCCACGTCTTGCTTTAGGTATGGGTACCAGATTATGGCACCATATTCTAGTAGCGGACGGACGAGTGTGAGATAAGCATTTCGTTTGCAGGATGTTAGGCAGTGGCGCAGATTTCTTCGAATGAAACCAGTGTGGGGTTGGCTTTTTTTGGCATTTTGTTTATATGGGGTGACCATGGGAGAATGGTCTTGTTTAGAGAGTACATATAGGTTGATAGTTTTTTTCTTGAGATGCTTATTGTGTAGCATTTGGTTTCGTTAAATTTCATGCCCCATTAGTCCGCCCATTTCATAAGGTACTTCAAATCTGCTTGGAGGTGGTTGTGATCATCGAAGCCATTTATCTCTCTGTAGACAAGACAGTCATCTGCAAACAGCCTCACTTGAGATTTTACAGTATCAGGGAGGTCGTTTATATGACAGAGAAAGGGAAGGAGGCTCAACACTGTACCCTGAGGAATTTCTGAGTCTACAGTGAGCGGACGCCATCTACCACTACTTGCATGGTCCTTTGTGTTAGGAATGTTGAGACACCCCTTCGACAGCTTCGCTCCTCCGCAGACGCGGGTATTCTTTCTGTGCCCAAGACTCGCACAAAAACATACGGTGAACGATCCTTCTCTTTCTGTGCCCCCCAAACAATGGAATTCTCTTCCACTACACTTCCCCAATATACCGCCCATACAAGGCCTTCAAATCTGCACTCAAAACACATCTCTTTAAACTTTAATATACTGACTTATTACCCTCTCTGAACAGGGGTGGACTGGGGAGTTCAAGCGGCCCGCCAGGGGTGGACTGGGGAGTTCAAGCGGCCCGCCAGGGGTGGATTGGGGAGTTCAAGCGGGCCGCCAGGGGTGGACTGGGGAGTTCAAGCGGCCCACCAGGGGTGGACTGGGGAGTTCAAGCGGCCCGGGAAAAAAACAAAATGCGGCCCTATCTTCATGACTTTTATTTGCCTTGTGCATTTTTTCCTTCCAAACCTGAGGGCCGAGGCCTCCAAAGTCATGGGTCACTTTACAAATTACAATATACAAGAACCAAAAAACCCCGATAAATCGCATATAATTTATAATTATAAACAAAATATCAAGAATGCGTCAATTCAAGTTATAAATCAATTTATTCGGACTCACTGTGATGGTGTTTATAGTATAAGCAACTTCTTTAAGGTAGGTGCCATTGCGGCTACATGATCTATAATTGTGTCATTATTCAGCTCACTTAAAACATCGGTTTCTGTTGACATAAGCATAAAAGCTTCAAGGTATGTAGAAGACAATGAGCTTCGCAAGCGATTCTTAATGTATTTCAGTTTAGAGAAAGATCTCTCACAAGCTACTTGGGTAGAAGACAGAGTCAATAAGAGTTTACATGCACTAAAGAGATGCTTGTATGTTTGCCCAGAGAAACTGTATTGATGTAGTACAGAGATTCAGCAAACATGACATTTTTGGCAAGATTTGCAGTTTGGAAGTTCCTCACTCTTATCTACAACTTGGTCGTCCCAGAGTTCATGTGGCGAATCTTCACTGACGCTGTCCTCTACTGAATCATTGAACATTTGGAGAAGGTATTCGTCGGGGACAGAATTTTTAAATTTGTCCCATTTCTGCGCAGACAGTTAGCGCTTCTCTGAGATTAGTCGCTGTGGCGCTTTCATCGAATTTAACGAGAGTACTGCTAAGGCGCTGCATCGCTGATGTAGCCAAACCTTGTTGTTTAATATCCTCAAAGTTCTGTTGATCAACACAGGCAATATCTGCGTATAAGGAATCGTAACTTTCAAATCGCTTTTCAATAGTTTTTACAATTTTGTCCATGATGCAATTATGAACTTTGGTGTCTAGATATCTGTCCGCTGCATTATTTCCTACTGCCTCGTGCGTTCTTCTCTCATCAGACATCACTTTTGGTTTGTGTAAACGTTTCTCTACACAATTTTCCTCAATGGTAATTTCAAAATTTTCTTCTTCCAACTTGTTTTAGCCCAGGACACAAATCGTTTGGCAATGTCGAGAACACCATTGAAATCTCTTGAAATATTTTTTAACAACTTAACAGTACAATCTACATTATGGTAGGCCCTATGCTTGCAGTGCATCCATTCCGGTGGTTGGTAAATAATTAGAAATCGATCCTGTGAGCTGGAATATTCTTAAGTATAGTTTTGCAGTGACAACCGTTTCAAATTTGATAAACTTATCTATAAAAGTTTGAGCTGTATCCCTGATTTTTGCATTGAATGCGTCCGATGATGCTAGTTCTTGTAACGTATCAATCCATTCAATGAACAATGATGAGTTTGGATCATCAAAATGTCCAAATTCTTTTTTTAACGCACTTTCTTTGGCCCACCACCGCGTTTCACCAATAATATTTAATCTTTGGTGTCTAGATTTCTGTTGGGGATCGACTCAAACATCCAAGTCATTACGCTAACAACAGAATCACCTTATCTTTAATATCTTTAATATTATAAACTATTTTAATCTGAATTGTACGCCGATAAATGATGAAATCGACTCTGGTGACTTATGGATGCTTTTGAAATATCAATCAATAAAGGCGTTTCCTTCGGGCATGAAAAACTAAATATATCTGGCCCGCGGGCAGAAAAGGTGGAGAACCGCTGCTCAATAGGTTCAGGTGGAGTACCACTGCTCAACAGTTAAAGTTGGAATAACACTGCTCAAAAGGTGAAGGTGGTGTACGACTGCTCAACAGGTAAATGTGGAGTACCACTGCTCAATAGATTATCATTTTAAAAGGATTAACTGGAAAAAAAAAAAACAAATACTTTTGCAAAAGACACATCGAGTGGGAGACTTTCTGGTCTGGAGGTTCGGACTATATTTGGTCTGTGTGAAGATTCCCTGGACTAGGAGTTTGGCTCTTAATTTGTCAAATCGTTGCTTTCTTTCTTTTGTTAATATATTTATAGAAAGTGCTTCATGAATACATCTATAGAAAGTGCTTTCATTGATACATTTATAGAAAGTGCTTTCATTGATACATTTATAGAAAGTGCTTTCATTCATACATTTATAGAAAGTGCTTTCATTGAACCATTTTTAGACACCGTACTTACTAGGACAATGCTAATCTGAGCAGCCGTGGAAAAAAAAAGGGGGGGGGTGGATTATAGCTAAGTAAAACAAAGTGGCGCGTCTATTTCTTCAAAGAAACGCAACGAGCTCCTGGTTGCCCACCACTGAGATAAAGGAAGAAAGTGTTTATGATGGCCAATGCCACAGCCACGGCTTAGTACAATGAATGTAATAGCCTGGGTGTATGGGTTAAAAACAGACGTTTTATTGTCAATAGGAGTTGTAGTTCCGGAACATTCAATGTTTACAGATGTAGCATCTAAATTGCAAAAAAGTAACTTTAAACGTACAAAAATGTGTTGATCAAATTTGACATTTGATTCAGCATCCAAAGGGAAGCAATCTGCTGCACTCTGAATTGTATTATACACCATATGGGCTACACATCCAATATCAATTACCTTACGCTCTAAAAATCACCCAGCTTACGAAAAACATTATTAGTACCCCTTCTGTCAACATCATCAAAATGTGTATTTGTTTTATCAGACGCTAAACACAAGTTTATTAGCTATGTTGTGATTTTGCAAAGTCTCTCTCAGATGATCAAATTGGATGCCAGCTGTTACACCTGTAGGGTCCTGCATTTTCAGAGGTATAACCTTAACTCTTGAAAGTGGCTGAAAGTACCTCACAACTACAAGAAATAGGTTACCCATTGCGAATGGAAAAAAAACATTGACTACAGTGGCTTCACATTTTGTTCTGGTACCAGCAAACTTTGTTTGAAATATCGTTTGTACCAATCTCGAAGTACAGTCCATGGTCTTAAAACTGTGGCTGTTTCACACTGAATGAAAGGCAAATGTTCCTTTAGCAGCAGCAAACTGTTTCTCGTCTCCACGAAGATTTGCACTTCTTTCATGTTTTAAACATGTGCGTATATTTTTAAAACTCGAAAAATGGCGGGCCCCTATCTAGCTCGGGCCCCCGACAAGTGCCATGGTCGTCCCCACCACTAGGTGCGGGCCTGACGGGAGCCACCGACCTGGGCAGTTAGCCTCCAAGTTCCAACTCTACTGAAATTAGACGAGGGTGAATCACTTCAATCAACTATCTCATCACTAGTCATTACTATATTCTAATCATATCACTTAATTATCACATCACATGTCACATTCCATGTGTCAGCGAGACCCCGCAACACGCACTGGGCACCCAAATTCCTGTCAAAGGTTCAAAGACGAAAGCCAGAGTTCACCCTCCCAACACACAGGCCACGATACGGGCTGGGCAGACAGTCTCACGAGGTTTCACGCAGGCACAGCAGTAATGCCGAGTTTAAGAGCCATTCATTTAGTAATCAGGCAAAAAAAATAAAATGTGTGTACCTCCCCTCCCCCAGTTGCACGCGTACTTTTTGGACAACACCAGCCCCCTCCCCCGAAAAAAAAAAACAACAACAAAACAACAACGACAAACAAAAAACAACTGGTGCATACAAGAAGCTTTTAGCTCCCCCACCCCCATAAAAACATCAAAGAAATCAACTAATTTATAGATAATTGTGACATCACAAGAATATAAAAAAATATTAAGTTAAGAACCGCTGAGCAAAGTTAATATTTAAACATGATGAGGCCTACATTTAAAGATCATGCGCTAATGGAAATTTTCCGAGGAACACTATTCCAAATTCCATAGGTTAATATTTGAACCAATCAGCTATTAGAGCGTGAATCGGGCGCGCCCAGAAGACAATTGACATCTCATTGTGTTAGATTGTGTTAGAGCAAGTCTCCAACAAACTTTATTGTGCTATTCTATCACTGTGTTAGTGCAAGTCTCCAACAAACTTTATTGTGCTATTCTATCACTGTGTTAGTGCAAGTCTCCAACAAACTTTATTGTGCTATTCTATCATTGGGTTAGTGCAAGTCTCCAACAAACTTTATTGTGCTATTCTATCACTGTGTTAGTGCAAGTCTCCAACAAACTTTATTGTGCTATTATATCGCTGTGTTAGTGCAAGTCTCCAACAAACTTTATCGTGCTATTCTATCTCTGTGTTAGTGCAGGTCTCCAACAAATTTTATTGTGCTATTCTATCATTGGGTTAGTGCAAGTCTCCAACAAACTTTATTGTGCTATTCTATCACTGTGTTAGTGCAATTCTCCAATAAATTTTATTGTGATATTCTATCATTGGGTTAGTGCAAGTCTCCAACAAACTTTATTGTGATATTCTATCACTGTGTTAGTGCAATTCTCCAATAAATTTTATTGTGATATTCTATCACTGTGTTAGTGTCCAAAATACTTTATTGTGCTATTATATCTCGGCCATGGCATTTCTTTTCAAAATGCAGTTAACATTTGTATGTATATTCAATTCATTCTTTTATCAGAAGGCATTGGGTAAGCATTACATATTATAGTCATTTTATTCTAATTGTTACATTATCATTATTTCAAAGATTTAATTTTAAAATGAATTTATTTTGAAACGTTCAGGTACAAATACATTAACTTAAAATCTATTTGTACATGTAGTGATGAAGATTATAATCCATTTAGATCAACAGTGAATTGTAAAACAACGTGTCGATTGTGCGTGTTACTGTTTTCAATAACTAGTAATGTTGCTTGTTCAAAATGTACTCCTTAACTCAGTGGCGTAGTAGTTAAATCCTGACTAGTAAAATTTTAAAGTTCGTGGCTGAACACCGATGGGGCGCCTCCCCCATTAAGGACTGGTCCCGAGTAAATAAAATACTCAGGATGGACCAAAGCAAGTATCTTCTGCCTTGCAGTTAGTTAAGGAATTTACAAAAGTTAGTAACCTGGTTCAAAGTCAAATAAGCTACCCAGTCAGCTGTAAGGGGCATCCCCCAGCCCCCCAATCGTACGTTTTTTTTGTGCAGAGATGACGCCACTGGCACGTAAAAACAACTGCCACGTCAGCACTAACACATTTGGGAAATGGGACGTTTATTAATGGGTCACGACTTATGCCTGGACAAAGAAATGCTTTATGTATAGCGACCTGGAATGTGCTACACGGAGCAGGAGCGCTTTCCCGCCTTGTTGGCAGTGTGGTAAGATATAAATTCGCCTATGCTGCTCTGCAGGAGATAAGATGAGACTACTCGAATAAAGCACGGGCCAAGGAATGTACCATCTTCTACAGTGGAAATACAAAAGACACCTTATGAACAGGTTTTGCAGTCAAAATACAAACAGTGAATGAAGTCATTGGGTTTCAACCAGCGAGTGAAAGAGGATAAGAGGAAATATGTTGACCATTACTTTCATTTTCGCGCATGCTCGAACGGAAGCTGCAGATGATAACATTTAGGAATCCCTTTATCAAACACTTCAAAGAATATCTAATGAGGCGCCACGCCATTTTACTTCAATGGTTATTGGAGATTTAAGCCTGAAAAATTGAAAATAGACTGATTACAGAACAACTGACCACTACTACGTCAATATAGTTTATGATAAGTCAGGACCGGAGTCCTCCTCCGTAACAACCGTTCTGTGACAGGGGCCTCCAAATGTCAGTCGAAGGCTCTGAATATGAGGAACCCAAATTGATGTCGTATAGAAAATAAAGCCAACTAAACTGGTGTCTTTAGAGATGTAGTTTAAATTGCAGCAACGGCACGAGCCAAAAAGCAATACACTGTCCTAATAAATGACAAATAGCGGATGACCAACACTTTTAGCACCGCCCGTAATTGTAGAGGCCGAAGGTTTAATTTGTACAAATGTCTCTATTTCTGCATAAGTTTGTTAAGCTTGTTAAACACAATTAGCTGATGTGATCGAAGGCGATTAATGGTAGTCATTAGTTTGTTAAAAAGCACCCTTGTAAATGTGGATGATTTATTCTATTGATGACATTACAAAATAACTCAAAACTTAAGAATTTGAAATTCATGAAAAGTGCAAAATAAATCGTACCCCAACCCCACCCCCACACAATTTCTTGTTTACATTCATATGGACCTCTTTTTATCCGTGAATACTAGATATTACTGTAAACTATGAACTCAACAATTATTTCTAACATTTCCTCTTATTTCTCATGACTCTAGGACAGATTGGAAGAGGGGAAAGTCTAGAAGGGGACGATGTGATCCTCACATGTCCTAGTGATATTTTGTTAGCCAAAATTTCCAACGACCCTGTTGTACTGATTAAGAAATTAACCCTAAGCAGAAGAACCACCAGTGATAGTCAGTTCACCACAATGGCAGTTTATGACGTTATGCAGAACATAAAGTATTTATGGGACAGAGCAGATTTGACAGTAAGTGATCGATCATTTCCTCTCCATTAATTTCTTTATTTGGACTCCATTTTGAACCTGCTCTCAATTCGTCCATATCACACATACGACGATTGACTGATTAATACTATTTATAATTATTTTGTTTGAAACTGACCATGATTTTAAACGTATTTTCAGAGAAGATTATTTTTATATTTTTCTCATTGCCATTCTGTTAGTCAAGGTGAACAAGAAAGATCGTAGTATATAATAATAAACAAGAAGGCAAGCACCGATGACTAAATAATTTAGATATGTTCTATCATTTCCAATGGCGTACGGATTGAGGTAAATAATGACGTTAGGATTACCATTAATGCAGCATTAGATTTATTTTTAAAAAAAAATATTCGTTTAAACAGCTATACCAGATGTTCTCAAAGTGGGATAGCTCAAAGGGTGGGGAATATATACGGCTTTTCAGGGTTTAGGGGGCACTGAAACCCCAAAAGTCGGTGCTGGGGAAGTGTATAAAGAATATGATTTTAATGCACTTATATATTTAAAAGAATGATCAAATACTTTCTGAAAGCAGGAATCAAGTAAGACTACCCTGTGATAGATATTTAATTGATATAATCTTAGTTTCATACATAACTAGAGAAGAGAAAATGAATTGAATTTCTTTTACCTTTCAAACAATGTCCACATAGCTAAGCAGCAGCGCTTTGAAAACAGTTTGTTGATTCTAATGGAATTTAAAGAGTTGTTGCTAAAATAGTCACGTGCAAAGTGTAATGCCTCATATCAAATATTCATGTGCCAAATATAATGCCTCATATCAAATCACCGATGGTAACCGTTTGCAGGTACGCTGCTTTTTGTTCATTTCTAAATCAGTGTCAAATCGTTGAAGAGTTCATCATTCCAGCATATAGCGAGTTTATGAGCCCCCGTTCATAGATACAAATATTCGCAATTCTCAGACTTGTAATAAAACATATATTCCTTATTCTCAGCCATCTTTCATTACAACTGAATTAAAGTGATCAACATTTAATACAATTGATATTTCTTCTTTGTCATGTATGTGTTGTAACAGATGAAATATCAGATCGAACGCTGCTATTTACTAAACATATAGAGAAAGTTGTGTCAACATTTCTTATTGTTGAGATACTCTTTCATTAAATGAAGAAAATTACATTGAGTAACACAGAACGGCAACTGAGTGATGGCCGTCAGTGACTAATTACAACAGAGGTTAGGTGCTTATTTGTAATATATAGGGAAACAAATGGCTGAGACATTAATATCGACAACATCTCAATGCCAGAAAGCTCCGTCATCAACTCAGAAGTCAATACTTTAACAAAATGTTTCATTTATATTTAAAAAATCATGCTATATGTTACTTTTTAAAAAATAATTTCATATTATTTGCGACAATTTATAGCCAGCCAATTGATGGCCGTCTCAATGCATAAACTTTAAATCTACTTAAGTTGATTGAAGAAAGCATGCATTTGAGTAATGCACTCTTTAATATGACAAATAATGCTCCCTCCCCCCACCCCCGGGTCGGCATTTTCACCCCCTACACCACTGAACTATATAGTTAGTTCAATGTCCAACCCCCATTTAAGACCGCAGATATATTACACCATATTTAAATTGAGATTGTTTCCGTAAGACAAAAGAAAATATTACACATCAAGCCGCAAAGCGGTATTTTCAAGTATCTCTTTTAGCGACGTTATCGGAATTTTTTATTTTGTGCGCTGTTGAACTGACCATTACAACATCAGGAAGTGAATAAAAATGACATGCAGATAGAAGAGAGCTCGCACGAGGATAAATGGATGTTGCTGGTGATCTACTGATCATGGAGGCTTTTATTGTAATCGGGGGTGGGAAAGTGAACAAAGTGTCAGCGAAGATGGACAGCAGGAAGTGGGTCGAAACTGAAATGCAAGATTCCACCACAAACAAACAAAGAAACAGAGAGAGAGTGAACAAATAAAAAGACTTAAATTGGAATAGGCAAACGTAATTTGGGGTTTACCTCAGGCAAGGTAGGCCCATGTGGATGGGGGTTTGACTCAGGCAAGGTAGGCCCATGTGGATGGGGGTTTAACCCAGGCAAGGTAGGCTCATGTGGATGGGTGTTTGACTCAGGCAAGGTAGGCCCATGTGGATGGGGGTTTGACTCAGGCAAGGTAGGCCCATGTGGATGGGGGTTTAACCCAGGTAAGGTAGGCCCATGTGAATGGGGGTTTGACTCAGGCAAGGTAGGCCCATGTGGATGGAGGTTTGACTCAGGCAATGTAGGCGCATTTGGATGGTGGTTTAACTCAGGCAAAGTAGNGAAGGTTCGCCCTCAGTATCTGTGTAATTTGAAATATTTAACTGAAGGTTCGCCCTCAGTATCTGTGTAATTTGAAATATTTAACTGAAGGTTCGCCCTCAGTATCTGTGTAATTTGAAATATTTAACTGAAGGTTCGCCCTCAGTATCTGTGTAATTTGAAATATTTAACTGAAGGTTCGCCCTCAGTATCTGTGTAATTTGAAATATTTAACTGAAGGTTCGCCCTCAGTATCTGTGTAATTTGAAATATTTAACTGAAGGTTCGCCCTCAGTATCTGTGTAATTTGAAATATTTAACTGAAGGTTCGCCCTCAGTATCTGTGTAATTTGAAATATTTAACTGAAGGTTCGCCCTCAGTATCTGTGTAATTTGAAATATTTAACTGAAGGTTCGCCCTCAGTATCTGTGTAATTTGAAATATTTAACTGAAGGTTCGCCCTCAGTATCTGTGTAATTTGAAATATTTAACTGAAGGTTCGCCCTCAGTATCTGTGTAATTTGAAATATTTAACTGAAGGTTCGCCCTCAGTATCTGTGTAATTTGAAATATTTAACTGAAGGTTCGCCCTCAGTATCTGTGTAATTTGAAATATTTAACTGAAGGTTCGCCCTCAGTATCTGTGTAATTTGAAATATTTAACTGAAGGTTCGCTCTCAGTATCTGTGTAATTTGAAATATTTAACTGAAGGTTCGCCCTCAGTATCTGTGTAATTTGAAATATTTAACTGAAGGTTCGCTCTCAGTATCTGTGTAATTTGAAATATTTAACTGAAGGTTTGCTCTCAGTATCTGTGTAATTTGAAATATTTAACTGAAGGTTCACCCTCAGTATCTGTGTAATTTGAAATATTTAACTGAAGGTTCGCCCTCAGTATCTGTGTAATTTGAAATATTTAACTGAATATTCATCTCAATAAAAGACATCTATAATTGCAAAAAATAAAATGGAAATAAAAAATTCTATCATAGATTTTGTAAAATGTTCATTAATTCTAAACTTTGTCTTCTCCAGGAACCCATGGTGCACTCAGGTACGTGGGTTATCAATCACAACTACACGTCGGGACTCCAAATAACCATCAAACAAGCAACAACTGGGGACACAGGGATGTACTGGTGCCAGGGTTATTTGACTTTAGGGGCGAAAACTAAAACGGCCAACATCACCCAGGAAGTTATTATAAAAGGTGGCTGTTTTAAAGGTTTTTAATTTTCTCGCTTTATTAGTAAGGCAGGGCTCCAAAAGCAGATACTGCAGTGAGAGGTTGCCTTTAAATAGTTCAGTGTCAACGTAACAACAAGGGAGGGTCGTCAAGGGGGTTGGGAATAGTTTGAAAAAAAAGTAATTTGCTTAAACATTCTACTTTTCTTTGCTGTATAAAAAATATAACAAAGGGGGATGCTATGTTACTATTGTTAGAGAGACTTTGCCACCACCTAGATAACCCTAAAAAAATATGCCAGAATGCTTTTCTTAGACTTCTCATTAGCAATTAACACTATCCAACCACAGCTTATGATAAAGAAACATTCCTTGTAAGGTGTAAATTTACATATTAAGGCTTGGATACTGAACTTTAAAAAAAAAAATCGACCACAACATGTCAAGTTAAAGGACCAATTATCTCTAACACAGTGGTTCTTAAGCTGGGTTCGATCGAAACACGGGGGTTCGGTAAGTCAGTCTCAAGGGTTCGGTGAGTCAGTCTCAGGGGTTCGGTGAGTCAGTCTCAGGGGTTCGGTGAGTCAGTCTCAAGGGTTCGGTGGAGGTCAAGGCACACACCCGACTCATATTTTGTGCAGTGCGGACGATAGAACTAGCGGTCGCGGCCGATGAAAGGTCAAATACGACAGTGCGAGCTCGACAGCACGACATAGTTATAAAGTGCGCCAGCGAGATTACACGTATTGGAACGGTATGGTGATGTTTCTAAATCGTGGATCCCTTGACGTCACGAAACACATACATCACGAATCGTGTCAACATATACAGGCGCGCGTTTATCGTGTATACACGCGCTGTGACGAACAACAGCAGAACTAACCCAATTTCGTACACCGTCTTAGCATACCTTTTATTTCTATATCGTGGCCAGTAGTCGACTTGTGACTGTCGTGATGGCTCGTCGTTTGATTTCTTTAATACTTTAATCCCTTCATACTAACTATGTCGAGCAAAAAAAGAAATTGATCGTACGAATATGTACAATATGGATTCACATGTGTAACGGAATGTGATGGGCGTCAGCGTCCTAACTGTCTCATTTGCAATGCCAAGTTGAGCAATTCAAGTCTAGCAGGCAAAACTAAGAGAACACTTCCTTAAGCTGCATAGAGATGGAACATACAAGAACACAACGCTCACTGAATTCAAGGTGAAGTGAGCCAGATTCGATGAAAAGGATACTTCGCCTGTTCTCGGCTTTGTACCCATCAACAAACCGATCCTCACAGCATCGTTACGAAGCTGCTTACCTGATCGCAAGCAGGGCAAACCACACACCATTGGTGAAACACTCATAAAACCAGCTGTTTTGAAGATGACGAATATCATGGTGAGAAAAGCGGCTGAAGTTAAGTTATCTCAAATTCCTCTTTCAAATAACTCCATCAAAGACAGAATAGAGGACATGGGCAAAGAAATATTGGCTCAAGGAGTTTCAGATCTGATTTCAAGCCCGGCAAAATTCAGCCTTCAACTCGATGAGACCATAGACGTTTCCAATCTAAGCCAGCTTGCTGTATTCGTGCGCTATGTAAAAGACGACGTGATAGAGGGAGATTTCTTATTTTGTAAGTTTTTTACAACAACTAAGGCAGCCGATGTGAAGAAACTTGTGGATGACTTCTTCAGAAACAATACTCTCTCGTTGGATATCGTTTCTGCAATTAATTTGTTCGGACGGAGCTCCAGTCATGCTGGGAAGAAAGTCGTGTTTTGATGCGCTAGTGAAAGCCGATGCACCACATACCATTGTTACGCAGCTGCCACGCACTTAGATGAGCTTGCAAAGTCTCTTGACAGATATTTCCCTACAAGAGGGTCATATCCAGCATGGGTGAGACAGCCGTTCAAGTTTAGTGTTGAGACAACAGATGTCAATGATGAATACCTCGATGATATCATTAAAATTCAGCAGAGCCAGGTTCAACAGCAACTGTGCAGAACAACAAGGCTCTCAACGTTTTGGTGTCAACAAATGGTGACGTATCCTGGTATTGCTAAGAAAGCTCTGGAGATTTTCATATCATTTGTTACAACATATCTTTGCGAGCAATCCTTTTCCAGGATGCTGGACATAAAATCGACGGAAAAAGAACAGACTTTGTTGCGAAAATGACATGAGAGTGGCACTTGCCAAGGTGAAGCCGCGCATTTCTGAACTGGTCTCTGAGAGGCAACAGCAGGAGTCACACTGATTTGCAGTAAATATTCATTATTATGTTTTTGTTTGTCTGTGAAAATCACGTTTTAATGGTTTTGTTCTTTGAACTCAGTGATGTTGATGCACGGTGCATTGTGTGCACCAGGAAAATATGCACCTATGTTTTGAATTTGAAAAAAAAAATCATAGTATATTTTTCCTATTGAGATGAGTTCGGTGAATGCGCATATGAAACTGGTGGGGTTCAGTACCTCCAACAAGATTAAGAACCACTGCTAACACGAGAAATAAGCACCGGGGCACCACAAGGCTGTGTTCTCTCTCCTGTACTGTATACAATATATTCTGATGATATTCAGAGCTCAAGCGACACCGTTCCAATCTTAAAATTTGCTGATGATACCACCACCATTGGTGGCTTAATATCTGAATGATAAGGCCTATGCAGCAACTTAGTTACAGGCTTTATCGATTGATGCGATGAAAATTTTCTCCAGCTGAATGTATCAAAAACAAATGAAATTGATGTTGATTTCAAGGGGGGGGGGACACCAGATTACAGATATCAACATAAAAAATCAAAGTGTAGAGAAAGTAGAGGCATATAAGTACTTAGGTGTCACCATTAATAATAACCTAACATGGTATGAGCACGGCGAAATGCTGTATAAGAAATTCAAACAAAGACTATTCTACCACAAAAAAAACTGTACAATTTCGGCATAAACAAACAAGTCGTTAACTTGTGCTCTACAGTGCTCAATTGAAAGCCTACTTTAATATATTTCAGTATTACCTCCTGGTGTGGAAATTAATTGTCTGATATTAAACACCGAAACAACAGACTAATACAAAAAGCTAAGAGCATAACACAAACTCAACATCTTTCACTTGAAGAACTATTTGAAGAAATATATTATCATAAAACTAAAAAAATTTTGGATGATACATCCCACCCTCTTCATCATAGATACCTAGTATCGGCCCGTTCGGGGCGAATTCTCTCTCTCAAGGTGAGGACTGAAAGATATAAAAATTATGTTGTTCCCCAATATGTACAAACTTACCAGCTTGCTCGCCCTCAAGTCAAAAATCTTAGTGAAAACTAATAAGTCCCTGATATGCCTAAGAGAATTCACTGAATGGCTTCTTTTTTACTAGGGAAATAATTTAATGTAGATGTCTTGTGTTCAAATTGTTTTAATTCTGTGCTTAAAATGTACAATGCAATCAAAAAAAATTTCCATTTGTTTGGATCAATAAAAAAATATTATCTTATTTTAAATAACAATTAAATAGTCCTAGATAAATTGTAGAAAACTATTTGTCTTTTAATGGCTATAAAAACTCGTATAGTTTCAAATGGTCAGATCAGCATTCGTGTTATATTAATAGGTCTAAGCAATTACCCCCTGCTACTCAATGTATAATTGGGTCTAAGAAATTACCTCCAGCTACTCAAAGCTAGCACTCGTGTTGTATAATTGGGTCTAAGAAATTACCGTTTGCTACTCAAAGCTAACACTCGCGTTGTATAATTGGGTCTAAGAAATTACCTCCAGCTACTCAAAGCTAGCACTCGTGTTGTATAATTGGGTCTAAGAAATTACCTCTAGCTACTCAAAGCTAGCACTCGCGTTGTATAATTGGGTCTAAGAAATTACCTCCAGCTACTCAAAGCTAGCACTCGTGTTGTATAATTGGGTCTAAGAAATTACCTCCAGCTACTCAAAGCTAGCACTCGTGTTGTATAATTGGGTCTAAGAAACTACCTCCAGCTACTCAAAGCTAGCACTCGTGTTGTATAATTGAGTCTAAGAAATTACCTCCAGCTACTCAAAGCTAGCACTCGTGTTGTATAATTGGGTCTAAGAAATTACCTCCAGCTACTCAAAGCTAGCACTCGTGTTGTATAATTGGGTCTAAGAAATTACCTCCAGCTACTCAAAGCTAGCACTCGTGTTGTATAATTGGGTCTAAGAAATTACCTCTAGCTACTCAAAGCTAGCACTCGTGTTGTATAATTGGGTCTAAGAAATTACCTCCAGCTACTCAAAGCTAGCACTCGTGTTGTATAATTGGATCTAAGAAATTACCTCCAGCTACTCAAAGCTAGCACTCGTGTTGTATAATTGGGTCTAAGAAATTACCTCCAGCTACTCAAAGCTAGCACTCGTGTTGTATATTTGGGTCTAAGAAATTACCTCCAGCTACTCAAAGCTAGCACTCGTGTTGTATAATTGGGTCTAAGAAATTACCTCCAGCTACTCAAAGCTAGCACTCGTGTTGTATAATTGGGTCTAAGAAATTACCTTCTGCTACTCAAAGCTAGCACTCGTGTTGTATAATTGGGTCTAAGAAATTACCTCCAGCTACTCAAAGCTAGCACTCGTGTTGTATAATTGGGTCTAAGAAATTACCTCCAGCTACTCAAAGCTAGCACTCGTGTTGTATAATTGGGTCTAAGAAATTACCTCCAGCTACTCAAAGCTAGCACTCGTGTTGTATAATTGGGTCTAAGAAATTACCTCCAGCTACTCAAAGCTAGCACTCGTGTTGTATAATTGGGTCTAAGAAATTACCTCCAGCTACTCAAAGCTAGCACTCGTGTTGTATAATTGGGTCTAAGAAATTACCTCCAGCTACTCAAAGCTAGCACTCGTGTTGTATAATTGGGTCTAAGAAATTACCTTCTGCTACTCAAAGCTAGCACTCGTGTTGTATAATTGGGTCTAAGAAATTACCTCCAGCTACTCAAAGCTAGCACTCGTGTTGTATAATTGGGTCTAAGAAATTACCTCCAGCTACTCAAAGCTAGCACTCGTGTTGTATAATTGGGTCTAAGAAATTACCTTCTGCTACTCAAAGCTAGCACTCGTGTTGTATAATTGGGTCTAAGAAATTACCTCCAGCTACTCAAAGCTAGCAATCGTGTTGTATAATTGGGTCTAAGAAATTACCTTCTGCTACTCAAAGCTAGCACTCGTGTTGTATATCGAAAAATCTGTTTTAGGATTCAGAGAATTCGTATTGGTGTCACACGGAAATTTTTTTTAGCCATTTTGTTCTTGTGCTTGATTACGATATAAATCTATAACAATCTGCATCTCGTATAAAAGGAAGCCCCAATCAATCTTTGTGTTATTTGTATTGATCCAGTGAGGCCTCCACAAGTTACAAGTCCAGACGTTCACAACGCCTCATGGAGATCACCTGTGATAGGAGTTTCAGTGGCAGCCGGTGCAATACTAATCGGGGTGGCAGTCTGGTACCTTGCCAAAAATCAATTTCAAAATGGTGGGTTTCTTTCTTTGTACTTTATCTTAATGAATTCATCGTGATTTGATTTTTTAAATCCTAAGTCACAATGATCTGTCAACCCCCCTTGTCACCTTGTCGTTTTGTCACTTGCCGTTTTTTCACTTGTCGTTTTGTCACTTGTCGTTTTGTCACCTTGTCATTTTGTCATCTTCTCATTTTGTCACCTTTTCGTTTTGTCACCTTTTCGTTTTGCCACTTGTCGTTTTGTCTGGTTACCGTCATAATCATGTTAAAAAGACAGAATATAAAGACATTAGGCATCCTATAGTTATTTATGTTTGAGTTATCTGAGAGAAATTGAAAAATTGTAAATTTAGTTTATTAAAATTTCATATTACTTTAACTTTCTTTCAAAAAATTGCAAATTACCTCTTTGATCTGATTGTCCTCTTTGATCTGATTGTCCTCTTTGATCTGATTGTCCTCTTTGATCTGATTGTCCTCTTTGATCTGATTGTCCTCTTTGATCTGATTGTCCTCTTTGATCTGATTGTCCTCTTTGATCTGATTGTCCTCTTTGATCTGATTGTCCTCTTTGATCTGATTGTCCTCTTTGATCTGATTGTCCTCTTTGATCTGATTGTCCTCTTTGATCTGATTTGAAATATTTGTCCAATCAGACTAATACGTCAAAAAAAAATTAAAATGGAATCGACATGATAATAGAAACACGTGTCACAAAAAGAGAAGTTCGTCTGGCAATTTGATTATTATCTAGAAACATTAGAGTTAGATTGCCTTTATTCAGATGTTAATATAGCTTGTGTATTATTCACATAATAAAGAGAGAAAATCCGGTTGGAATTTTATATCTTTGGGCTAAGTAAAATACTCTCCATTTTCTCCATTTTCTTGTTTGTCTGTGAATCCTGGACATTAACAGCAGAACTTGAAAGGAAAATAAAGGCGATGGAGATGAGATGTTTCCGAAGCATTCTTGGAATCGGCTATGGAGACCATATCTCCAATGAAAACAAGTGAAAGAAAGGATTCGTCAAGCAATATAATTGGACAGTACGATGACCATCTGGTGACTGTAAAAAAAAAGCGCAAACTGGAATAGTACGGCCACGTAACAAGGAAACAAGGGCTCGCCAAAGAAATCATGCAGGGCACAACGA